ACACAGTGGAACAATTTTAGAAAAATTTTTTTGGGTTAAGACTTGACTATAATGGGATGAAAGTACTACCCCAGCAAAGTAAAACCCCTAAAGAGATTTGAAAAATTAGTAGCCGTTTGATTTTTATTGTAATTTTAAGTTTTCATAATTCATTAATTTATTGAATACACGGAGAGAAATTTCCAATAAAAATTACTGTGCTTGTCACCTGAAAGTGTGTGCAAAATGTTTTTACTGAACTATTTGTATCGGAAGAATAGAAATATTGACTTGCGCACAATTTTATTTCATATGGAAAACAGTTTTATTTCCAAAATGGCCTCGGAATATTTCTTTGAAAGCACTGTAAAAATTGCTGAACCAGGACTTTCTAATTTGGTCCTAAGCAAAATATATTAACCGTACCATGAAATAGTCATGCGCAGGTTAATAAAATAGACTGTGCTCCCCACAAATTTTTACTGTGCTGCCTGCATGAAGTCAAGTTGAAGAAGGCCGATGATACCCGAAGTATCACGAACATCCATTTAATATTGCTACGATTGCTACTGTCGTACTTTCCTCACCTGTTGGCAAGGTAAATTTTTGCCTTTTGCGACGTTTTCGATTTTATGTTTCAATTAGTGATATAAAGAAATATTGGAAATGAAATAATTTTTACTGTCCATGATTTCACTTAACCTAGAAATTTTGAAATCAAACTTGTGTGCCTTGTATGCACACAATGGTTTACTATGGAATTTCAACTTAACCTAAAATATTGATTTGATAATATCATGATATACATGGAATATAAAAATCGCGTCACATGTAAAACAAATAAATATTAACAGTAATTAATTAACAAACATTATTTAATTTATGTTAATTCATTATATGAATTGTAAGAAAAGAATATGTCACATACACAAATAGGTTATGTCAAATTATTTTTCCGTGTATTTTCTTTGCTGAGGTAGCACAGTAATTTTTGTAGTTAAAGAGACAGCAAATATTTTCGTTTTTTTAGGTATAAACTGTGTTGGTTAATGGTACATTCTACTTTGCCAACAAAACGAACCTATTTTATACGGAAGCACAGTAATTTTTTCCATAATTTCCTTACAAAAATTAACAGAAATTTCTCTCCGTGTAATGGCACTAATCAGTTTTTGCTCAGTAAATCATGCATTTTTTACAAATTTTCTACTTTAGTTATGGTGCGCGCATATTTTAAATATCTTTTGTAATAAATATTTACAAATAAATGTAGTATGTATAAAATAATTTTAATCTACAACAAAATAATTAAAAAAATGATATACTTCTTACTTTTGTACTGATTTCGGTGATAAAAACCACGTAGTCGAATCAGCTTCGATATAATGTCACTTAAATTATATACTATACATTACATTAAAAAGTTGACATTTTCATTTCAATTAATATAAGTGATAAAGTTAAAGAAAAATATATAGTGCTATTTTTCTCCAAATAGACCAAAAACCTTAAAACATTGAAATTCCAGTTTATAAAACGGAATTTATAGACACTAATCTGACTTGAGTAAAATTTGTTGTTTAAATATTCAAAAGAGTTATTTAATTTTAATTTCAGTAACGTTTCAGTAAAAATTGAAATAAAAAAATATAACATTTTGCGGCGTAGTGTGAAAAAATTGAGAAAAATCGAATAATTTTCCCCAAAACATTAACTAAAGGTAATTTTTTAACCATAGTTCGTTAATGAAATTTGTTTATTGGAATAAAAACTACAATTTTACTCGAAAAAGCAAGAAGTTATTGTCAAAAATGAACGATTTACAAAAAGCCGATTAGAGCGATTATTCAATAAATTATTGAATTATCAAAGCTTAAAATTACAATAAAAATCAAACGGCCGCTAATTTTTCAAAATCCTTTGGGGATTTTACTCTGCTGGGATAGTACTTTCATCCCATTATAGTCAAATCTTAACCCTGTTTTTGGTGTTCCACTGTGAAATAATTATTTCTATCTTAAGACATTAGTAGTACCGCATGATGCCGTCCTGATTTAAAAACACAATATCTACATTTTTTTTATCAAAAATGAGTTCTTTTATACACACGGAGAAAAATAGAGTTTGAAAAATTGGGAGTCAATATTGAAAAAACAGGACTCAGTCCAGTAAAAGTACATTAATTCATTTCCATCAAGCATCTTAGGGTATTTGCGTATAGTGTATAGAGGACCAATAACAATAATCAATCATTAAAAAAAAGAAAAATATGTTAAATGCACTCTTTATATATTCATATTCATTAATTCACAAGTTTTATTCTTCCCACATCTTCATACTTACAATTAACAACTAAATGCATCGGAAAATCTTACAATCATACGGGATTGAACACCTACCTAACCATACAACTAAATATACGCATAATTATAAATCGCACGCTTTTACATTAAGGGACACACCTAGTGTGAGTGACTGAAAAAAACGGTGATTTTTAGGAATTTTTTTCAGGGAAATTATTGCTTCTAATTTTTTTTAAAGTTTTGTACATGTATATTTCTATAAATAGCAGGGGCCGACACGGACACGAAAAAAACGAAAATTCGTGTCGTGCCCGTGCCGTGCCTAGGCACGACACAAAGTACGTTTGGTAATTCGTGCCGTGCCAAGGCACGACACAAATAACATTTTTGAAATGTGTTGTGCCAAGGCACGTTTTAAAGGCACGCATGGAATATTGTGTAGAATCTCAAAAGCAATATTTAAGGCACGACACGATTTAGTAAGTGTAATTCGTGTCGTGCCTTGGCACGGGCACGAATTACCAAGCAAACTTTGTGTCGTGCCTTGGCACGGCACGAATTACAAATCGTACTTCGTGTCGTGCCAAGGCACGGCACGGGCACTGCTGCAGTGATTGCGGCCTTCTCAGTGACCTAAATCAAAAAAACCAAAAAGATTATTAAGCTAGATGATATTTGCCGTACAATGACCCTCGGATGTCAAAAAATATTGAATTGCAACAAAATGGCGGAGTTTTGAAAAAAGCTTTTAAATTTCGCCAAAAAAATCCGATGGTTTTTGGCATCCCAAAATTTTATTTTTCATCCAATCAAAAAACTGGAGCCTCATTGTACGGCAAATATCTTCTAGTTTAATAATCTTTTTGGTTTTTTTTATTTCAGTCACTCAGAAGGCCGCAATAACTGCAGCAGTGGGGAAAACTGTTTTTTTTTTGGATATAGCGAATAACTCTTTAAAAAAAAGATATTTTTCTTTGAAAAAATTACAAAATGTTCACTATTTATACAAATATACATGTACAAAACTTTAAAAAAAATTAGATGCAATAATTTCCCTGAAAAAAATTCCTAAAAATCGACGTTTTTTTCAATCACTCACACTACTATCCGTTCATTAAATCCTGGCCCCTCTAGTTTTCGGTGAATAACTTCGCGAAAAAAAATCGCTAATAAAAACGAAAAAAAGCATAAGAAAGACAATTCTATTCCGAACAAGTTGATATAAATTTCATTATTGCAAGTCAAATAGTGTTGATAACACGATAAGAAAATGGTGAAAAAACACGGAAAAAACGACCAATTTATCATTGCTGACTTTGAGCCCGTACAATTTAAAGAAAAATGGTTAGAAACTGAAACAAAAAATCAGGTGTACACATTAGTTCTTCCTAAATGATATTATTAAAACGAAAGTTTAAAATGTTAATTAATTTAATGCATAAAGTGAAAAAATTAAAAAAATGCTATCTCAACTTCCAACAGTCGCATAAATTCGAATTTTAGCTTAAAGTGCGTAAAAAAATTCACACATATTATATTTAAATTTTTAAAGTTTTAAACAAATTACGAAAAAAGTTTAATGAAAAAATTTTTTTAACCATTTTTTTCGAACCAGAAGGCCTCGAGTGAAAATGAGTCTCCCATTGCTGTTGACGGTCCAACAATGCTAAGTTTACTGCCCAATGCAGCAATTCGAGTTAATTAGGAGTTAATTTTTTTTAGCCTATCTACAGAAACCGATATTAATCACGCAATTTGGTATCCATGACATAAAATTTTTCACCAAGTATAACTTCAAAATATTTGCATCTAAAGAATATTGACTATCTTTAAGATAGTAATTAATAAATACATACTTAATTTTGATAAAAATAAATTTACTTTCACCACTGTTTTTCAAAACAGTTGTAAAAAGTATCACTCCTTCTGTCGCCACAGTTTTTAACCTCGACAGTTGCAGTTTCAGAGCGTGCGTTGGGGAAAACATATTTATTTATATCAAAAAAATCGGTTAAAAATTGGTTTCCGAGAAAAATTGGTTTTTTGATTTCCCCAAATAGTAGTCGGCCACTTTTCAATTTTGAATAGCTATAAAACCGTATGAGATAAAAATAATTTGTTTGTTAATAATCATTTCTAAGGTCATCATAAACAAATCTAAGATTGTGTAATTAAAAAAAAATTTTACGGTTTTTGAAGGTTTTTTTGAGTGGCTGATTACTGTCGTAATCTTACTTGTTTATTTACTAATTTGTTTTTCATAAGTATGATTGGTTTAATACAAAACTATAGTTTTGTGTGATCGTAAGGAACAATATCACCTGAAAGAATTTGAATAAAAAATATGAATTGCACTATTTAAAGTGTTAATTAAAAAGATTGCTTTAGGTGCGACCGACTACTGTCGTATTCTTACTTGTTTATTTGCGCATAAATTTTTTTAACGAATAAGAAATTTTTTTGTAAACATGATTGATGTAATAGTTTTGTCAGACCTAATAAGGAACAATCACACGTGGAATAAATTTTAAAGAAATTTTAATTGCAATTTTTAAACAATATTCATTAAGATTTTCTTAAGTGTCCGACTACTGTCTGGTTTATCCTATGTAATAAAAAATTCATCTCGAAATGATAATATAATTACAAACATGCGGCATTAAAAAGTTATTATTATAGATGAAATAAATTAACTTGTAAAATAATTAATATACATACCTGCACAGTGGTTTGAAGTTTTTTATCAGCAGTGAAAGTTTTATTACTTTAAAATTTAGATAGAGTGAAAACAAAAACAATAAATCGTAAACTTAAAAGAGAAAGAACAGGATAAAAATATCATTTCGTCGGTTTAGTGCAATCGGTGCAATCTGCAATGTCATACAGATTCCAAAAACAAAGCAAAAACATGCGCTTATTCAGAATGTAAAGGAAAAATAAACCAATTCAGAAATTAACGAAATTAACCTTTTCTGTTAAATTTCAAGTTGCGTACTTTTACCAAATTACCAAATGTAAAAAAACATATAATTTACGTTAAAAACTCCGAGTTACGCGTAACTATGTGCAACCCTTTTCTTGCCTCCTTATCTGGATACTTGGTTCTTGCTTTTATTTCGCTTCGGAATAAGTATGATACACTAACACGATTTGCTTTTTTGTAGAAAATGGCAAAGACATTTCCATTCTATCCTTTTCTCTTTAATGTAAAGTTCACGGTTTACAATTACAATTTACCCAATTTACCAATACAGCTCCGATACTTGCAGAAGTTTCAGTGTATTAAGATGAGGAGTTTGAGGACAGACACCAGTGACCACTTGACCAGGATAGATTTCTTATTATTCATGAGTAGGCGTACGACATAAGTAAACAGTAATACTAGCAACATCTCTCGGATCGGATTGCTCAACAGTTATCTCTCTTCACTATCTGAGTAAATACTTAGTACACTGGACTATACCAACATGGTATTACCGCCGTCGGTATTCCCGTTAGTTTCAAAATCACTCACTAGTTGTCAGCAGTATATATTTTTACCATATGTTGATATACTTGTCATTTCCTCCACCTGCTTCCACCCACCAGTGTTTTCTAACCTCAATTTACCACGTGTTATTCGAGATATTGTTGGTGATTGAGGACAGTTATAAATAATGATAAAATACAATTGTTTATCAATAGAATAAGGTTCGTAAACATCCGAATGTTGTTATAAATACAAAAAAGATATTTCACCCTAACTTTAACAGAATAATTATGAAACTTGCGTAATTTAAAAAGATTATGTTATTGTGTTTAATTAAACTATATAACTTTCTCCAAACATTTAATTTCAATTAAATTCTTTATATTCTAAACTGGTTAATTATTGAATGCATTTTTTCCTTTTTAAAACAAATTAAGATTTTTAAATAAATAAGAATAATATAAGTTAAAAAAATAAGAGATAAATTCATACCGATTCAATAATTTCATTGAAATCTTACATTGTAAACTTCATAAGAATTAGATTTCCAATACATATAGCAATTAATAAAATGTTTTGTTGACAGTTAAGTAAACAAAAAATTTTTCATGTAAATTAACTTGACAATTTTCTAAAACTAATAATTTGTTGTTATTATACTTAGGTATAATATCGACGTTCTGTCATTTTTACATATATGACATGTTGTTTTTAGGGTTTGACAGTTGAAATTAATAATTTTTAAATATGTATTTTTCCTCTAATTTTTTTTAATAATTTTCCTTCAATGTCAAGACTATTTTTAAAAATGGTAATAATTTCTGTAAAATATAAAATTTAACGAAATATTCAAATGTTTGAAAATTTTTCAATTACTATTGTTTCCGGCAATTTAATTATTTTGAAGAAATTTTAATTAAAATTTTTCAGAATTTCTAAATTAAATTATTTAATGCTTGAATAATTTTGTCAAATTATTTAAAATACTTATGGTTATTCATTTTTCGACGAGAAATACAATTTTTAAAAATCACAATTTCAAATCTTCTAAAATTTAATTATCCTAAAATTTTTTCTATTTAATTATAATTAGGTATTATTTGTGTCAAGCAAAGTTTGAAAATATTAAAACAAGATTTAATTCTCCTTAATTTTTTTTGTTCTTTTTATATACTTTTAAATTACCAATAATTTTAAGAATATTTTAAATCATCTAATTCAATTTGAGATTTCAGAAAAATTTTAATTTTAATTAAAAATTTTGAAGAAGTTAGTTTTTTGAAAAATTATTATTCACATTGTTTTCAAATTGTTTGAATACATATTTAATTGAAAAATTTTCAAATAATTGGAAGTTTGTAAACTTGAATTTCAAACAAATGGATCCCAAAATTATTTTATTATTGTTTTAAAAAATTAATTCGTAATTGCGAACGATCTTTCTTATTATGATTCTTTAATACAATTATGTTACATAAAAATTAAAAATTTTATTATTAAGTATAGTGCTAAGAAAGAAGAAATAACTCGCGCGCTTTAGTTCACGTTTTTTGGCTAGTTTATAAATAAATAATAAAATATATGAATAATTGAGAAAATGTTGAAATGAAGGATCACTCTTATTGATAAAAAATGTTACAAAGTTGTGAATAAAATTATACCAAGGGGAAACTTGAGGGTTCATTTGAAATTTTTCTCAATTATTAATGTACGACCGAGTGATGTAGTGAAACTTTGACATATTTTAAAATGATATAAATGTTTTCAGAGAAACGAATTTATTTTTGAAACATGTCTGGAGTTGAAGGAGACACGGTGAAGCACAAAACTCACCGTGACAGAAATGCGGGACGCAAAGCGGAGAAGAAGAAGGCGAAAAAAAGTCACATTCAAGAGTTAACTGATAAGCAGAGAAATCCAAAAGCATTCACCTTTAATTCGGCGATCAAAGCCGAACGACGTTTCAGGCGCAAACAAGACATAGAGACGAAAAAGCAACACATTCCTCTGGTTGACCGCACACCAATAGAGCCGCCGCCGATTCTGGTTGCAATCGTGGGGCCGCCGAAAGTGGGCAAATCCCTGGTCATTCAATGTCTCATCAAAAGCTTCACGAGGCATCCGCTCACAAACATCACGGGTCCAGTCACCGTCGTTTCCGGCAAGAAGCGTCGAATCACCTTCATGGAGTGCAACAACGACATCAACAGCATGATCGACATCGCCAAAGTCGCCGACTTGGTCCTGCTGCTCGTCGACGCCTCGTTCGGCTTCGAAATGGAAGTTTTCGAATTTCTAAACATCTGCCAAATTCACGGTATGCCCAGAATTATGGGCGTGCTTACGCACTTGGATATGATCAAAAACGCGACTCTGCTGAAGAAGACGAAGAAAACTCTGAAGCAGAGGTTTTGGACCGAAGTTTATGCTGGAGCGAAATTGTTCTATCTCTCAGGAATATTGCACAACGAATACTTACGTAATGAGGTGAAAAATCTGGCGAGATTCATTTCGGTGATGAAGTTCAGGCCACTCACGTGGAGAACGACACATTCGTATCTTCTGGCTGACAGAATTGAGGATCTGACAAATCCAGAGGAAATACGACAAAATCCAAAAGTCGACAGAACTGTTAGTTTATATGGGTATGAATTTTCTCTTCTTCTATTTGGCGTAAATGTTGTAAATGAGTCCAGTCCAATGTTTTTTACTTTTCAATTTTAAAAACAATTTAAATATGCTCGTGGCTGTGTTTGAATAAAAATTGCAATTTTTCTTCAGTTAGTTATGATTTAAGTAATCAAGTCAAAAATCTACTTTTATTCAAGTGCAAAATTCAATCCTTTCATATATATATTCAAAATTATTTTTTTTTTAAATTGAAAAGTAAAATATATATCGAGTTTAACCAACTTTTTTGCAATTGATGTCATTTTCTTCCTTAATTTATCTTCAATATAATTAATTATTATTAGGTATTAGGTAACTATTATTTACTATATATTAATCTTCATATTCTTTCATTCTGTCCACATTTGAAGTTAGTTATATTCATTAGGGTCACCACAGGTCAAGGAAAAGTCGGGGAAATCAGGAGACTCTATTATCAAAAGTACTAGAAGAATATCAAATTTCTAGAATTACTATAATAATTTTGGTTTCTATAGAAACCAAAATTGACAAAACTTTTAATTGTTTCAATTTTTAACCCTCAGCGTATACACCGGGTTATTTTGACCCGGACACTGAGGGTTCAAATTATTTTTGGGAATTCAATTACCTTCAAAAAAATTTTATTTACAATTTTTCGAAAACCTAATTTCTGTTTAGAATTTCTACATTAAATTATTCAAAACTTGAATAATTTTATATGCAAATATTTAAAAACTTACTGCTATTTATTTTAATTAAAATTTCAAATAATTTCAATTCTTGAAATATTTTTAAAAATTTTAACTGAAATTCTTACAATTACTTGAGTTTTTTTTTTAATTTGATAAACAAAATTCATTCATAAATTTTTTAATAATTTGATATTCTTTTAATAGGTACTTTGGATAAAATTTCCTAACTTTACTTATTTTCCTGTTCTGTGAATATCCTGTTATTGCAAAACTTATAGAGGAATTAATTTCACTCATCACTCTATTTACAAATTAATTGTCATGACAATTTGATCTGTAAAACAATTTGAAATCGCAAAAAAGCACTAATTTCACATGAGGACAGGATATTATTATATAATAATAATAATAATTTCTGAAAAGTTCCTGATTACAATTAACTTAGAAATGATTATTATATACTTAAAAACAGTTGCAATTTTCAAAAAAGATAATTGAATTTCAGAAAATTAAAATTTTTCAAATCAAGTTTCGAACAATTTCATTTAAAATTCTGGAAAATTAAGTTTTTGAAATATTTCATTAATTTTACGATATCCGAAGTAAATTCCAGTAAAAGTTTGTAAACTATAATTCGGAAGGTTATGTTTGTACATATTAGATTAACTTGATTAAAAATTCCTTTTAAATTATGTACTTAAATTTGAAACCAGTTTTTATTAAATATTTTGGATGTAATGAAGACTTGAAAATAAATAATTTACAATATAGTAAATTGATTCTCTTTCTGTCGTTTTACTGAAAAAATTATAAACATAATAACTTAGGATTTTTTGCTTCTTAGCTACCATTCTTGAGAGCGCGTCTCAAATATTCATGCGAATTCTAATTCGGAGTGACAAAAATTGGAGTAAATTATAGTTCGAACTGAATCCTTTATACATAATATCAAATAGTAATTCGAAACAACGAATTTCCTAAGACTGCCATGATAATTCTGTGAAACCATAAGTGTTTAAATTTAAAATTTGTTTACAGTTACGTACGTGGAGTACCAATGAAAAAAGATTCCTCAGTTCACATACCAGGATGTGGTGATCTGCAAATTAAGGACATCTGCTTTCTTCCCGATCCGTGTCCACTTCCTGAACAATTGAAGAAGAGATCTCTCGTCGAGAAGGAGCGTCTCGTTTACGCACCTTTCTCGGGCGTAGGCGGCATTGTCTACGACAAGGATGCGGTTTACATTGATTTAGGAGGCAGCCACTATCACAAAGACGACACCGGCCTGCTCGGTGCCCTTCAGAATCCCAAAGAGATGCTCGACGAGAAACTCGAGAGAAGCCAACTGCAACTCTTCAGCAACAGTGCGCCAATTGCATCGAAAGATGTCGATGAAAACATTTTTGGCATTACCAGTGAAAGCGTTTTAAAGGACGGCAGAGTCAGGCGGAAAGTTATTTTTAAGGACAAAGGACAAGATGTTGAGTCTGAAGACGAGGAGGAAATCGAGGAAATCGAGGAAATCGACTCTGACAAAGAAGAAGAGGGTCACAAATTAAAAAACAAACAGAAAGAGTCCCTCAAGATTGACGATGAATCCAGCAATGAAGATGAGTCTGATGAAGAAGAGAATGAAAAGAATGAATCACTGAGTTCTAATTCAAGAAAGAATTCAAAGAGGAAGAGCATTGAATCTTGTGACGATACTTCGGATGATGATGTGGAAGAACGTGAACCTCAAGTAAATGTTAAAATCAAGAAGAAGAAGAAGAAAAGTGCAGAACAACCGACAAGAAACACAAATTCTTACGTAAAAGACAGAATTGCAGAGGCACTATCTCTAATAAGCGCAAAATCCTCCCAAAGTTCGACGTCAAACAGCAAAAAAATGAGCGATGACGAGGAAAGTTTTGACGAGCTAAGCGAAGACGAAAGAGAGAATTTGAGTATAGATGAATCAGACAAAGACTCAATTTACGAGGATGAAGAGATGGAGGAGAAAAACCGAGAAAATGATGATGATGATGATGATGATGATGATGATACTTTACGTTGGAGGAATAATTTAGCCGAGAAAGCACGAGACGCATTTCTCAATCGTCGCCGAGAAAATGTAAATATTGAAAAAATTGTTTACAGTGTTTTTGAAAAAGGAAATTTACAGCAAGAGGAGAAGAGAGATAAGAGTGCAGACGATTCAGAAGCAGTTGGTGGAATTTTCCACTTGGTAAAGAAGCAGCAGCAGCAAAAATTGGAGGAACGGGAAGTGAAGGATCAAGAAGACAATTCGTTTTTCTCGACAGAACCAACATTAGATTGGTTAGTGATGGAAAATAAGGCACTTTTAGTCAATCGTTTTGTAACTGGAAAGTGGAAGGAGTCAGAAGATGCGGAGGAACTTTTGAAACTCAACGACTTGGACGATCAAGATCTGTATGGAGACTTTGAGGATTTAGAGACTGGTGAGAAATTCGAAGCGAAAACTAACGAAAAAGGTGAGTTTTGCTTTCTCTTACGAACGTTTTGTTATTTCAACACCTGTGCTCTTCTGCATGTCAAAAAAATGTCTCAGAAATTCCACAGAAATTCCTTCTTTTCGTTTCTAAATGATTATTCATTTCAATTATGGACATTTAATTATTTATAAAAATTACAATTGTAATAACTTTTCCAATTCTACAATTATTTTCTACAATTTCTAACTAAAATTATTCTCTATTCAATTAGGTACGTTTAATAATTATCAAAAATATGAAAATTCAATTTTTATTATAATTGGAAATAAAGCTCTTCATTGGGTTTTTATTCTATTACTAGCAAAGTCCTACGCGCGTGAATGATTTAAAGAATTATCACGGTAGCAATCTGCCTACCTGCTTTCCACAGAAAAAATTTAATAATTTCAATTTATATTCTTGCATGTTTACAATAGTTATGATTTTTTAAAAAATCTCGGTATTTTAACTATATTATCCTTTCCACGCCTCAGAAGCCATTTAAAAAAATTGCAAGAAGATCGAAGGCGGGGAAAGCAGTGATTTTTATTTTTTGTCACGGATTTTTCAGAAATCCTAAAATATAAAATAAATCAAAATCACTGCTTTCCCCGCCTTCGATCTTCTTGCAAAATTTTTTAATGACCTCTAACATTAAAATAAATAATTAGCAAACGAAAAAAATTGCTTCCAAGGGGTGGAAATTATAATTTAGTTTAAATACCGAGATTTTTAGAAAATCCTCGAAAAATCAAAATTACTACTTTTCTTGCCTTGGATCCTTTTGCGATTTTTTAATGGCTTCTGTTATTAAAATAAAAATAATTACCAAGTGAAAAAACATGCCTCTACTCAACTCAAGTTTCAAATGTAATTTTTATACATGTAATTTTCTCATGAAATCCCTCAAACATTTTCTAAGCTCATATAAATGTAATAAAATTCAAACTCAAAAGATTTAAATTATAATTTCTGCAAATATTTTAATTTTCATTCTTATGTTTCTAATAATGGTTGGGGTACAGTTTTTCTAAATCGTATTTTCTAAAATTTTTTTTTCTAATAAAGGTGAATTTCTAAAAAACTTTTTTCTAATAAAGGTGATTTTGAAATTTTCTGTCTTTCCCTAAAGACATTTAAAATTTTCTAAAAAATTTTTTTATAAATATATTAACTTTGGAAATTTAAATGTAAAAATGATGCAAATTATTTTTTTTCAAAGAAGAATATAGAATTTTGTTAACAAATTGTGATAAGAAATAGTAATTTTATAAAAATTTTTCTTCATTTTCAAAAAGAAACTTATAATTTTGTAAACAGAATTGTAATTGAGAAACAGAAAATTTAATCTTTATTTTTAAACAATTTTCTAATTTTTATCAAAATTATGGAATTTTAGAAATTTTAGGAAAATAAACATTAGAAATTATAACTTTTTATAAAAACTTTTTTCAGAAAACAGATTTAATTAGAAATCGGCTTTTTAGACAAAAAGGTGTAGAAAATACTTTTTTTTAAAATAGTGTTCGCCTACCCTAATAATTGATAGTATTCATCCGAAAAATATATTGAATACATTGAAATGTTGATAATTGAAGGAAAGAAATGTTTAATAGAATTCATAAGTATTATTTTTTCTGAAATAAATAAAGTACCCGATTCTGCGTAACCGGAATGGCAAGAGTATCAAAAAATGTAAAAAATGCGGAATTTTTTTTGAAGTTTATTGAATTATCATTTTATAGGAGACTGAATTTACCAAAAGAAATAAAAATTCTAAAGATTTAATTGAAAAACACTATTTTAATCTAAAAACATACTAAATATTTAAACTTCAAAATTTAAGTGTCTTTAATCAATTTATTTTTGTCAAACAAAAGTGGCAAATAAAATTCAGTTCACTAATTGAATAATATTGTAAAAAAAATTGTTCGATGTTAGAATTTAAATTTTTTATCAATACCAAGTTTGAGAATTTCATTAAATTTATAAGAATTAACAAAATAATAGAGAATTCTTGAAAAAATTACATGTATTTACCATTTTTAACATCAGTTGAATAGAGGCATGTCTTGATAATTTTTCTATTATTTGTAAAAAAATTTCTTTGCATCAAGTGGTTATCACACATATGGGAATACTCATAACCAAAATTTCTATCAATCAAATCATTAATTACTATAGAAAAACAAAAGACGACACTTTCTGTTCACGGAATAGCAAATTATTATTATGTATATTAAAGTGAACTATTAAAAATATGTAATCGAAAAGATTGATACTTATATAGAAATCTAATTTTTTAAAGAAAACCTATATTTTTTTTATAGTTTTACATAATTGAAACATTTTCAAATAATTAAGATTTAATAATATTTTTTGAAAATATAGTTGAATTTTTTTAAAAGAATTTTTAGAAAATAAGAATACAACATTTATTTTTAGAAATTACGACTGTTTCAACTTTTTTTCAAATATTGCAACAAAATAACACATTTTTAGTATAAAATGTAACTTTCTTTAATTTTTATAGTGTGAAATACAACTATGGACAACTCCTTCAAAAATTATTTTTGAATAATTTTTCAAAATACCTATATACCTACATGTAATTCAAAATGTTTCGAATAGTAATTAACGTTTTGTAAAATTTAATTGAAATCAATTGATTTCTTTCATGTATTTTAATACAATTTTTGAAAATCAATTTTTGGAGAATTTTAATTGCAGTTTTTGAAAATAATTAAATTAAAAAAAATTTTAGGTAATAAAAACTTTTTAAGTGTAAATTAAAAAATGAAAATTTTTTGCTAAAAATTATATTAAAATATTTTTAAAAAACTAATTCTTAGAATTGTTTTATCAAAATTTTTTCAGATTCGATTATTTTAAAAATATTTTACCAACTTTAATTATTTGGAAATTTTTCAATTGTATATACATAATGGAAAAATTATTATCTTTCAAAAATTATTTTAAAATATTTTTAAAAAATTAATTTCAAGAATTTCTTTATTACAATTTTTTCAAAATATTAGGTATAAGGTAGAGGACCTTATTATGAGACATTGTCCCTATTAATGATACACTATAACTTATTATTAATTAAAATAAAGCTTAATAACTTTAAAAAAAACATGGACATTTACAATTTTCATAAAAAGTTGAACTTTTGTATTTAAAGAATTGAATTCTGGAAGAACTTTCGGAAAATTATTAAAAATAATTGATTTAGAGATGGAGTTTTGTTAAAAATTGAAGAATAGGATATTTGAATTTTGGGTACACTGAATAAAATTCCTAGGTCCGACCCGTAGTTACGAGAGGCATCCACTAGGGATGCTAGTCAATTTAAAACCTTCTGGAATTTCATGATTTCTAAAAATAATAAATAAACGACTTTTTTGCGCCCTAAAGTAGATCCGAGGTCTGGTATCGTAAAACGGAGTTGGAACAATTTCAAGAAATTAAGTGTTATTAAAAAAATTGAATTTAATAAAGTTTTCCGTCATTTGAAGATTTTTACCAACTTTTACTTATTAAGAAAATTGAATCTTGTGCTTACTTATAAAAGTATTGAATAATTTTTTTTTGTTTCAGAAACAGCTCCAAAGGAAGTAGATGACGAGGAAAAGGAGAAAATGAACAAATTACTGGAGAAAAAGTTAAAACTGAAAAAACAATTTGAAGCCGAATATGACGAAAATGACAAATCATATTACGACGATTTGAAAAAGGAGGCCGAGAAGCAGTCTCAATTGAACAAGTCAGAGTTCGAAGGACTGGACGACGAGGTTAGAGTCCAACTGGAGGGTTTCCGCCCCGGAATGTACGTTCGCGTGGAATTCGACTCGGTGCCTTACGAGCTGGTGGAGAACTTGGATCCGTCGTATCCTCTCATTGTCGGAGGTTTGCTTCCCGGCGAGCAGAATGTGGGCTACGTGCAAGTGAGAGTGAAGAAACACCGTTGGTATCCGAAGATCTTGAAGAGCAGAAATCCTCTCATCGTCTCCGTCGGTTGGAGGCGATTCCAGACCATTCCCATCTACTCGAAGCTGGAGGACAATCTGCGCAACAGAATGCTCAAGTACACTCCAGAGCACGTCGCCTGCATGAGCCACTTCTGGGGCCCAATAACGCCCCAGAGCACCGGCGTGCTGGCCGTGCAAGACGTCGCCTCGAGGGAGTCGGGCTTCCGAATTGCCGCCACTGGCACCGTCGTCGAGACGAACAAGACCACGACGGTCGTCAAGAAACTCAAACTCACCGGCGCTCCGCTCAAGATCTACAAGAAGACCGCCTTCATCAAGGACATGTTCAACACTGCCTTGGAGGTCGCCAAGTTCGAGGGAGTGCGCATAAAAACCGTCTCCGGCATTCGCGGGCAAATTAAGAAAGCAGTCTCGAAGCCCGAGGGCTGCTTCCGCGGCACGTTCGAGGACAAAATCCAGCTGAGCGACATTGTGTTCTGTCGCACTTGGTACAAAATTGACATACCAAAGTTCTACAACCCCGTGACTTCACTTCTGCTCCCGCCCAGCGAGAAGAACCAGTGGCGAGGCATGAAGACTGTCGGCCAATTGAAGCGCGAGCAGAACATTAAGGCACCAGCGAACGTTGACTCCATCTATCAACCAGTCGAGCGGCAGGAGAAGTTCTTCAAACCCCTGTTCATTCCGAAGAACTTGCAGAAGGAACTTCCTTACAGGGACAAGCCGAAAATGCTGCCAGAGTTGAAGAAGAGGAAGCTGAGTGTTGAGGACAAACGCGTGGCCGTCGTTCGGGAGCCTAGGGAGGAGAATATTGCAAAACTGATGAATATGATCAAGACCACCTACGAACACAAGCGAGAGAAGCAGCAGGAAGCCACGCACAAGAGAATTGCCGCTCATAAGAAAAAAGTCGAGGCTGAAGAAATGAAGAGACTTAAGAGGCACAAAGAACTCAAAAAACAAGTCTTCCGAACTCTAAGTAAAATGGAAGCTAAAAACAAGAAGGGATGAAAATTCTCTTAATTATTTCTATCAAAATGCAAAATTTGTAATGTAAATAAAGATTTTTAATTTTAGTTATTATAAATTATTATTTTCTATTAAATTCATTAGCTATTTATTTATTTATTTATTTCTCTAAAAAGCTGTTGAGTTGTTTCTTGTGGATTTAAATAGATTTTGTAATTTAGTTTTTATTTTAAAATGTTACTTCACTTCCATAAAACAATTTTATGCGATAGTGAAAAAAATGTTGTTGGCCTTCAATTTAGAAATTATTATTTCCTGTTTAGACAGTAGTTTCAACTAAAGGATCATTATTAATATCAATTAATATAATCGACAAATTCTTTCATTCATTCTTTTTGTCCACATCTCAAGTTTGACTTTTGTGTATGCTTTTGTTTTTTCTTCTTTAGAAAATATTGTTCAATATTGTTTGACAAATTGAAAATAGATATACAGATTTTAATAAAATAATTCGAACCGAACTGTTTGAATTTTTCGCCTAGTTTGAATGTCGAAAAACCGACATTCGAATTAGCCTAGTTTTCGACATCCGACATTCGAACAAAACTCGGTTCGAATCGAATTTTGCACAGCTCTAGAAAAAACTTATGTTATTGGTAAAACTTAATAAATCTGTTTCTATTTACCCCAACTGATGACCCTACTTTTAATAAAAATGTCTGACTTTTCCTTGAATTCGCTGTCTCAGAGTATATTATTATTGCGGTTAAAATAGTAATAATCTATATTCCAATTCACATTCTTTATTTTTATGAAAACAAATTTGAATTAAAAGTGTTTATACCTATTATTCTATTTTTTTTAAATTGCTAATTTTCTTTTAAAAGAGCATGTAAGAAGTTATGCGCGAATTGTTCAGTTGCTATATAGTTTGATAATGAAGAAAGAAAAATTTTGATAAATATTTTATTGAAAACTCTTATATAAGTTATAATATATAATAATAATAATAAAATAAATCTATTAGTTCTTATAAAGTAATAACATTGTTATGCTTGGTCCTTATAATATTGCTTGTGAACCGCGCCACGATGTCAGAGTATGATGGCTCGTTGAGTATGTGTCAGCGCTCTGTGAAACAAATTTAAATTTTTATTAAAATTTTCGATAGAAGAAATTCATTTTTTAAGGTATTCCACGGAAAAAAACTTGTCGAGAATAAATTCCGAAAAATAAATATCATGGAAAATTCAATTATTTTTAAAAATGTTAATAAAATTATTTTCCATTAGGTAATAATTAGTTTTGCTACAATAATTTATAAATAACTATTTTTATGTTTTAGAATGTTAAATCAAATTTAAAAATTAAATAGTGATTTTTAATTGATTGTAACAGTAAAAAAATAATTTTTTATTCAGTGCAAATAAAAAAGAAGAAGCCAACAACTACGCGGTATTCCCAAGCGGTAATCCTTCCAAGTACACTTCTATAAGTATGCAGAAAGTAACCACTTTGTGCTGCATTCATGTTACAGGGAAGTAACTCTTTTCCAGCAGGTGTTAGACAAATTACTTTTTTAGGCGTTTCATTGAGTATCTTCACGTGGCACATCTTGGAAACAATATCATTGAGATATTTGTATTTAAGCATTTATAAATTTCATAAATTTTAAACAAGTTTCAAACAATGGCAAGAAGAATTTAATAGATATTAAACTGATATTTAAAATCTCGATCAAAAAATAGTATCACTAGTGGTCTTTTTAATAAATAAGTACAATTAGCAACCTTTTTCCCATTAGTAGCACACTGAGAAAACTGTTTGCTTGTACCAACAAAATATTTATTAGAACAGCGCGAGCGCAAGAGACCATTTAATCGTATTCTGTAGATTATTTAGTACGGACAACCAAATTTTAGTAATCTCAACCAAAAGTGCTCAACAAAACGATTTTGTTATCATTACAATATTATTTTTCTCAGTGCATGCTAAACGGTTGTATGCGCAGTAAACACGGTGTCAACAGTCGCATAATATTATCACTTGTTACCTGTGTTAGCATTAATAATTCATCCTGTGTGTCGACAATTTTAACAGGGAATGGCGAACCAGGTACGAGAACACCGGCCCATCTCACTTCAACCCTGTAATCTCCAGGTTCAGTGGGGTCATATCGACACAATATAATTCGATCCTTTTGCGTTTCCCTCTGCATTTCAACTCTGAACGCTCCTTTCGGTCCTCGAACTCTTACAGTTAATTGGCCCGCTCCAGCTCCTCTGGTATCGCAAATAAACCGGGACTGGAATGTTGCTAGCACACCATGTTCTATTCCTGGCCCATAAACTCGAACCTGTTTTCAACGGAAACAAATTTCAAATTAATTTGATCCCATTTTATACTGGATAAACCAGACAAGTTTCTTTTCTTTTCTTTTCTTTTCTTTTCTTTTCTTTTCTTTTTAATCAGGAATTTAAATATTATGTCAGTTCCGGAACTCGTATTACTTAATACTGTTTAATGAATCATTCGCGAATAAAAATAAAGTCACTAGAAAATTAAATCTTACCTTAGATGCATCAGGTGCACCGGAAACTCTTAAAGTAAATGGAGAGCCAGTTACATGTTCGCCGGCATATTTTATCGTCAGTGAGTGTCTTCCTGCTTCCTGAGGTTTCACATTTAATGTGAATGTTGCGTCTCCATGATCGTAAAGTTCACAGTAGGCAACTTTGTGCGGTCCATCGCAATGAGCAGTTAATTCTCCTGAAATTTTATTTCAATAATTCTAATCTTTTCAAAATTAACGATTAAAATGAAAATAAACGTTTAAAACTTGTCTCGTACCAGGACCTGCTCTTCTTGTATCAATAAAACTTCTTATCTCCTGTCCAACAATTCCGTACTTGAGTCCCTCTCCGGAGCAAACTACACGCGAGGCATCAGCTGCACTTGTTACATTAATTTGTAAGGGACATCCTTTCAATTGTCTTCCATTCCACGAGACAGTCATTAGTAGTGAATCAGAAGTGAGAGGTACATAGCTGGCTCGATAAACACTGTCACCTGCAAAAGTAACACTCAACAGGTAAACTCATTTATTTTCTTCTATTTAATATGCTAAATTTCATAATAAAAGAAGCAGGGGGCAGGCATGAAACAAAACATTCAATTTCAATACATTTTTTTAGTAGTAAAACTTGATAAAAACTAATGGAACTATTACCTAAATGCTGGACATTTACGTTGACTTCATTAGTCGGTGAGAAAAGTTGAACCTTCGGTGTTCCACTTCCGGCCTGCGAACCGTCAATCGTAAAACTAACTTCTTCACCACATTTAGCTGACGTTAGACCTCTTCCCCGCAACATTACTCTACTTGTGTCTTGAAATTGCTATTCAGACAATTTTCAGAACATCACATTAAAATTAAATCAAGCAAAGTTTTTTAATAACATAACAATTTTTTATAAATGTTTTAAATAAATACATACCTAATATTATTATTATTTACAAGTAATTGTTAATAAATAAATAAAATATGTACATAAATATACGAATATACAATTAAATAGGGCGGATAAAAGAGTTAAAAAAACACTCGGATCTGCTTGAAACTTGTTACTCTGGGTTTTTTTTAGGGTTTCTGGTAATTATTATGAAATTGATTAATTAGAAAAAGGAAATTTTCGAAAAGTTTGAATACAATTATTTAATCTAAATAACTCACCTCTCCATCGACAACTGCAAGTTTCGGTGCACCTGGAAATGGAACGCCATTGAATGATATTTCAAATCGATGCTCTCCGCCATTAATTTGTGGTGAAACAAGCTTCAGCCTGTTATTAGAAGTCATTTCAAAAGATAGGGGATGATCTCCTATTTTACCGGTCAGTTCACCAGGTCCAGCTTCTGAAGTATCAAAACTTATTTTATTTGAAGCGTGAATTTTTAATCGTCCCATTTCATCACACAAAGCACCCCAGCCTCCTGTTTTTATTTAAGAAAAAATGCAGCAGTCATATTTATTTGTCCTTTAAAAGAACTCAGTTTTTTTATGAAACCAAATTCAAAAATAACTGAAGATACTCGAATCTTAGATTTCAACATTTTTAATGTCCTTCAAAAGTTAGCATCGACATATTTTTTCTTTCAATACGAAACCAAAAAATTTCAATAATTTTTTCAAGGATTTCAAGTTTTTTAAATACGGCGATGGAATTATTCAAAATCTTGGGTGAATAGAATAAGTAGTGAAATTTTCAACACTAAACATAAGAAAAAAATATTATTCAATGCTGAGCGTCGGTGCCAACTTTAAGGAACTTATTTTTAGAGTAATAATAAAATAATATAAAAATCTGAGTTTTTCTTTATTAAATTAATTTGCCAGTGGTGTCGTTTTCGAAATTTACCTATGACTCGTAAGTTTTTAGTGTCAATTATCTTTGGATGCCAGGGGGAACCTGGCAGTTGCTGCCCAGCGCACACGACTCTAACGTCAAAAACTCCTACTTCCGTTGGCGAATACGACACATTCCAAGTTCCGGGATTCGCTCCTGCTTCAATGGTGGCTTTGGATATACTGTCAGGACCGTCAACCTGTAAATTTTTCACTGTCTTTACTCAATTGCTGTTATGTCACTAAAGAACATCCAAATGCAATGCTTCGGCTAAATCCCTTACCGATTCCGACTTGACTTTAGGGATTTTGCACATTACTGTGGAGAAGGTGAAAAGAATTAAAGAGACAGTTGCAAGTCTGTAGACATCGCAGACTGCAATAGGAACAGAGAAAAGTGCATTAAGCTGAAATCGTGTCAAGAACCTCAACTTGGTAGTACAAAAAACTAGAAATACATATTGCGTAATAGTGTCTGACAAGAATATTCCAGAAAACACCAATTTTTTAGAGGCCAGAGGTGGTGTGATACCTTAAGTATAATTTTTTCTCAACGTGTGGAAGGAATTCTTTTAAAGCTCCACATTTTACCGTCGCTTTAGTTAACTTAAATTATTATTTATTATTTTAAATAAAACATCTTTAATTATCTGCATATTATTTTAAGAAGGAAGTTGAATTAAATTGAATTCACAAAGACCTTCAGTGAATCCCGAATATACGAATTGGATACCTTCCCGATTCTTCTATTTGTACCAATTTAGTGGACGAATGGAGCCTTTCGTTTGCACAAACTGGTGCAAATTGAATGAAATTAAATCGAAGAGCCTGAGTGAATCTTGCATTCTACCCAAAATCTTAATTGTACACGCAGATTCATTCGTTATATATAAGCATTCAATTTGACAAACTTCTCCCGAACTTGCCGTCATATCGAGGTTTGGGTGTATATTCAAAAAGACCGTAAAATGGAATTGAAGAGAAACTATTTGAATTTGAGTCTCACCTGTACAGCTGGAGGACTACGGGTACCAGTTACTACAAAATGAGCTGGTTTTCCTACGACTCCAGTCAATAAACCATCTCCTTTTGCTCTAGCTTGTCCTGCTGCTTCCACAGTGCATTTTACTGGACTACCAGGAACAGTGCAACCTCCTAATTTAGAAAAAAATCAAATCTTCTTAACAATTCTTCAAAATCAATGTACATTTTTTCTTCACCTAAATTACTTAAAATAGAATAATTAGCATTTATTATCTGCAAACTAATTACTTTACTTAAGTGAGATAAATCTGCTTGTCATCTATTATTACAAACAAATGAAACTGAAAATGGCGCCCAGTTATTTTGGAAATTAAATTTTAAAGTTAACTATTGTTTTCAAGCTGAAAGTGGACAGACTTTTTCCCTGACCCTAAAGAATATTCTGATTCACTCAAGAAATTATTCTAATACATATATATTTATTTGTGAATATTATCAATTGTCAAATTATTAGAAACATCAAAAGTCTTTATTTAGATCAAAATTATTAATCATTTATTACTACATTTTCAAAAATTATTAATTTAAAATTTTTTGAAATTCAATTATTTATAAAAATTTTTTAATGCAACTATTCAACTTTTAAGTAAAATTATTTGTTAAATTAATATTTTAGTAGTTCTTCAAGAATTAAATTATTTAAAATAAAATCTATTTCATATTCTCTAAAGTTTAATCTTTAATTACAAAATTCATGAGGAATTAAATCTTTTCAATATTTTCAAAGGTTGATGGACACTAAAGTCCAAAATTTTCTTATGAATTCTAAAAATTTAATATTTTTCCAGTACTTTTGGTGAATTTCCCTAACTTTTTCCTGAATTGCCTGAACATCCTAACCTGTAGCAACCCAGTAAAAAATTTTAATTATTAAAACTGTGAATAATTTTGTTTAAAATTTCTGAAAATATAGTTAAATTTTGGAAGAATTTCAGTAGTAATTTTTAAAAATAATTAAACTTTAAAACGTTTTTCATAGAAATTATTTGAAATTTTTAATTCCCCTGGAAAAAATAAATAAGTATACATATTTATATATATTTATTTAACGAAAATTATTCATGTTTTGAATAATTTAATTTAGAAATTTTGAAAGAACGATAGCTACTTTTTTACTAGTTCTTTTCAGTTCTAAAGCTAATTTTGACTACTTTTATTAATTACATAACGTGTGCGGACTTGCGGAGTCTGTTAATGAAGAAACATTTATTATTTCAGTTTAAAATTCTATTTCTAATAGATTGTTGGTCTTGAAAGAATAATAAAGGGTCAAATAAATATAGATTTTCAGTCGATGCTGATAGGTGATAGGAATGAAAAACGAAAGCTTTTTGTTACGAATGTGGTAAATAAGGGAAATAAAAATGATTGACTTCTTACCGTAGGTGACATTAATCATGTACGTTCCAGGAACACTGGGTGAGAATTCAATCAACTCCGCTCCATCGTTGAGCGGTGTGACTTGCAGAGGAAGTTCCTGTCCCAGAGGACTCGTGGCCGTCACATCCAGTTCGGCCATGCCAGCATCTGTTTTAATCACTGAAAAAGATTTGTCGTTATCTCTGTGCTCGGGCACTTGGCAGATGATCATTTTGTACATTTTATTATTCGCCATTCTTTGAGAAACATAGTCGTCTCAAGCGGCATTTGCAAGGAATTAGTTAAAGTGGAGGCAGCGCGAAATGCGAATGCACCGAAACTGGAAAAGACATTTTGATTAAAACGCTCGCGGAACCTGCGTATCAGAGACTGCATTCACCTCTCCACACGGGCAAGGCTATTTGAAAGTAGACTAGATTCGTGATATCTGCTAGCACACAGGCAGCCTTGAGAGGCCTTCTAGTTATGTGTGTGTGTGTGTGTGTGTGTATGTGTGTGCACTAGAAAATAAGAAAAGTTATGTGACTTTCTCCCATGCAGTAATTTGAATATGATCACTTCTCATACAAGTGCGTCAATTACAGTCAATTACTTCTTTTTTCCTCGCGGGAAAACTGTCTTCTCTCTCTCTCTTTATCAGCGCAGCGGTGAAATTCAATTACTCGAAAGTGTGAATAACTATGTGTAATATGGGATAATAATCGTAGAGAATTTCTTCAATACGGGTGTGAACATTTCTTCTCTTGTCAATTACACTTTATCTCACTTTTTCATATTTTCAGAACAACAAATTTTCAATTAAGTACTACATACTAATTATGCAAGTACGATTTTTAAATTAAAATTAAAACATTTCTATTCTTTAGATTAAAGTCTACCAAATAAAGAAAAATTGTCAAACTTTATTTTTCAAAATTTATAATTTAAAACAATTTTGATTCGATTGTATATGATTGTTTAAACAAATATTTTAATTTCAAAACTATATTTCACTTATCTTGTTTTTAATTATTCTTGTATAAAACCAAACTGTATACAGATAAACGGGAATAAAATATTTCATTGTTCCGATATTATATGTATGTGTACATTTAAACAGCATAGAGTTAAACGAATAATTTAACTGTGTACAATTAAACTGTATCGAATTTATAAGTTTAACATTTTTTTAATTTCTCTGTATACAGATGAACTGTGCAGAATTAATTGTAAATAGAATTGAATCTATTATGTGCACACTTTTTAATTTTATAATAATTTAGAAATGTGAAACATTCTACTTTTAATTAATATTAAGTTCTTCAGGATTTTAGGTCATCTTATCACTTACATAATTATATCTCCTCAGGCACTAAACGAAACAATCCAATTCAATCAAATTTTCGCGATGGAGAACGAGCTACTTTTCAGTTTTATTTTCGCAAAAATGAAGAAATTTCAGAAAATGTCATTTTTTTTAAATTTTGACTCCATCCACATCTTACAATAATTGTAATCTATTATTAAGGGGGCAGTCTGGGTCTTCTGCACGTATTTTCAACAATTTTTTTTTCATAGTGAAATTTATTTAAACATTTAAACATTTTTACATGTTATTACACATATATTAAACTAAATAGAAAAAATTTCTTTCTATATTTTTTGTTATTTATAGCGAAGAAATGTCGACTTTAAAAAAAAAATCTCGAAAATCTAGTTGACATGATATCTTCAGTCAGAACAGACGGAATCAAAAAAATCCAAACGGATTATTAAAATATAAGTTAGTGGTTACAGCCGGAACTAAAATAAAAAAATTTCATTGAAAAATAACAAAATGGCGGACTTTTTACTTTTTTTAATCCTTCTTTTGAAACTAAAAATGTTAAAAAAAACCGGTAACAATTATTTAAAAATTATGATTTTAGTTCAGGCTGTAACCACTTACCTATATTTTAATAATCCGTTTGAATTTTTTGATTCCGTCTGTTCTGACTGAAGATATCATGTCAACCAGATTTTAGAGATTTTTTTTAAAGTCGACATTTCTTCGCTATTAACAACAAAAAATATAGAAGGAAATTTTTTTTATTTAGTTTAATATACGTGTAATAACGTGTAAAAAATTTTAAAATGTTTAAAAAAATTTCACTATGAAAAAAAAATTCTTGAAAATACGTGCAAAAGACCCAGACTGACCCCTCAAGTATCGTTCAGAGAGAAATGACAAAATTGAACAAAATTTAGCCAAAAAAAAATATTGTCAAATTTTTTAAAAAAGTCAAAAATTTGGTTTTGCCTTTTAAATTCGTATTTATTGTTTATTTTTAAATTTTATTATAAAAATGGGTAGTGTTTGTCTTGGAAAGTATGTGGCATCTGCAATTCTTACAATAAATCCTTATCAATATGTGACGCGACACGAGAAAAGGGACCTATCGTTAAAAAAATCGATTTTGAGATTATGGTGCTATTCGATAGATTATTCTTTGCTCTTTCACGTGAAAAAATCAAAAGTTGAAAAATTTAAATAGTGTTAATAATATAAAGCCCGAAAGTTAAGCATGTACGCGTAAATACACGGGTTTTCTGCGCATGGCGTCGCTTTAAACGCTCTCCCTGTAAAATTCTCTTTTGCGGCGATAGGTCCCTTTTCTCGTGTCGCGTCACATATGAAGAAGAATTAACATAAGTTTTAAGCGGACTAAACCATGTTTGCAGTAAAGAGCATTTTTGTTTGAAATTTTTTTGAAAAAATGAAAATTTTATAAGAGTGCGTATTGCTGAAATATATGAAATGGGAGGAAAAATTTTGCAACTATAATTTATTATTAATGATTGTTAATTTATCAGTCATTAATAGAAACAAACACTGGAACAGGAATTGATGAAAAAAAGGTTGATGTAGTAACTGAATAGGTACGTAATTATTTTCTTCAAAAGTGACTCTTGATAAGAGCATTAAACTTGCAACGTGATTTAGAAGTGAAAGTTTCATGAATGATTCAGTGATTATGCAATATGATTACAACCCTTATAATATTTGCCGAGAATGTAATTCCATTTTCTTTGCTATTCATTTTAGGAATTACGAAAAATTAAGTGAAATATTTCATGGATATTTTGCTAACATAAAAATCGAAATTTTTTACCGAAATTTTTTCAAATAATGCAATCTTTAATTTGATCTCATTATTTCACTGTCATCAATTATTATAGAACGGTCTCTTTAAATTATAGTCGATTTACAGAAAGAGAGGACATTGCATTTCTTAAGGTTCAATGAAAAATTGTTATTAGTGCACCAGTTGTGCAAACTATTTTAATCTGATTGCAGACAGAAAGAAATCGTTATTTCAAGTAATTGAGGTCGTCTGCGATCAGACAATTATAACAAAATTTTAAGAAGATGTGTTGATGACATTGATTCGTGTTAACAGATCCTCCTCACGTGGCTTAAAAGTCAGAATCGGAAAAAAATTTATTACTTATAGTGATAAGCAAAATAAAATTAAAAAAATGAACTATTTTACAGACTAAGTGAATAAATATAAAAAAGGTGTAACGTAAAAAAAATTATTTACTTTTGTGGGAAAAATTGGACAACTTACATTTGAGTGCAACGTGGTCGTGAACAGCCACTGTTGTTGGTCCCAGTTCTTGTAATTTTATTTTATTTGGATCGAAAGCTTGGCAGAAAAATGGTGAACCTAATACCGGTTTTGCTCCTTGTAATACGTCAATTTTATAAGTTCCTGAAAAGAGAAAAGTAAAACTCAATTTGTAATGAATTCTATCTTTTTATATAATTATCGAAAATATTGTCTTATTCTTTTCTTTCTTTCCTTCGTTGTTTCATGATTACTTTATTAAATGATTTTTAAATTTAAAAAAATATCTTTTCTAGTGTAACTAACAAGTAATATTTTTCAATGAAATCGACAAACGTTTGATAGATTACACGTCTTGTGAATCAAATATTCGAAAGTACTTTATTACTTAATAGATAATAATGAGACTCCAAAAGTGAACAGAATTATTTTTCGAGATCAATATTTCACTTGAAAACGATATTGTAGCAAATATTTTTCGTTATATTTGAAAATTTAATAAAAAATTAACAAGTTCGATTTGTCAATTACAATTTTCAATTAAAAATAAAACTGAGAATTTTTGGAAGATATATTTATAAAATAAAGGGAAAAAATTCGATTTGTCAATCACACTTTTTACAATCTATATATTTGTAAAACAATTTCAGAAATTTTTATTTAAAATTTTTAATCACATTTTTTAACAAAATTATAATTCTTTTTAGAAACAAATGAAACAAAATTGCACAAAATTTGTACTTTTTAAATAAATTTAGCTGAGGTGTTAAGCTTAAGACAGAATGTTTGGAAATATTACACGATTTTCACAAATTTTCCTTATGAACAAAAAGTTGGAAAAAGTTTATAACGGGACTGAAATTATTTTCGTTTCATCTATATGTAGTGTTATTTTTAATTATATTCTATTTTTCGTTTTATTTTATTAACATTACTTTAATGTTTTTTAATAAAAAGTGTAATATTTTAATGGACGATTTTGAAGAAAATCCAGACTTGTAAGAATGATATGAATGTAAATTCCGCAATGAAGTCTCACCAGTTAAATGAGTTGTGAATTCAGCTAACAAATTCCCATCTCGATGCTGATAACATCGCACAGGAACTGCATTGCCTTGTGGTCCACTAATCACTACATCGAACTCCTTTCCCGGACGTCCCAGCGTTTCAATCGTAAAAGATGTAATTTTACCCACACAAGATTGATACAATCCCAATCCCGTTGATGTGACTTCTCTTCCCCCCGTGGGACCCCTCACGGCAACTTCAACCGGACTTCCTGCAAGCACACAACATTTTATCGCGATATTTCACAAAAACTATAGGCGTAAAAGTGCTCAAATTATTCAAGTTGCTGAGATAATTGTACGCATAATTGTTTATAGGACCTAGAAAGACAAAAGGCCTTTCATTGAATTCATCAAGTAAAAAGAGAATACCTTGAATGTGAACGTCATTGTACTTAATGTGAACCCGATGTGGAGCAGCTCGCGTTGGATGAAAAATAACTTCGTAAACGCCATTATCTCTTTCTCTTACTAAACTGTCAACATCTGCACCTCCCGCCCTGACGTTTACGCTCAATTTCCCAGGACCGGCCTCCTTCGAAGCGACAACTGCACGAAAAAGAAAATATTATTTATTTATTACACTGGAACGCCGGTTTAGCGGACTTTTTATTTTTTTCTCTTATATGTTATACGGAAAAACATTTACTTTATTCTAGTAACTGGTTAATTGTCTACTGATTGTCTATTAATTTTGTTGATTTGAACATTTTTTTAGCGGACAGTTCGCTAAACCGGCTTAATTAATTGACAATAATATTTCAAGATTGCAAGCATAATTTCAGAAAAGTACCTAAAACTGTGCCTGGACGATGACAGACGGTGTCGGATATTTCTTTGATGGTCACTTTGGTTGGATCGAAGACCTGCAGACTCTGAGAACTTATCATTTTTGGACCATCGCTAAAAATTACATTGTAAATCCCGACTTGTCTCGTTCTTATTTCCACACGATAGAGATTGGAGGAGATTTTTGTCAATGCGCAAGGAATAATAATGCCATCTGGACCTGAAAGTCAATATTATTCAATATGTTGTCTTTTCAATTGCAAATAATTAGAATTTTAATTTAGTGTAATTATTAGTTTCAAGCAGAAAATACTTGTGCTTATCTGAAGACACATAAAAGTTAGCAGTCATTTTGCAAAGAGTGCCTTCACCAAATTGTTATCTGGAAACTCTCGAAAAATAAAAGACTTAGTCGTGGTGGAGGACTTTTCACTATTTCACCACAGGACATCCGAAGAGAGAGAATGAAATCCTCGAATTATCGAAATTAAAATTACTATTAATACTACTTTTCTCAAATAACAATATTGCAACAGATTCCGTACTGACTTTTCCTCATTGATGATGGTTATAAAAACTCAAAAAACTTGTGTTAATACGCACTTGTAATTTCGGCAGACACTGGACCAGCGAGACTTGGCATATCCAGATCCATATAAGCGATATTTCCAACCCGGATCATTGAAGGCCCATCGAGAATGCTACCGACGACTGGGCATTTGAACGGACTCCCTGCAATTCGCCATTTTCAAAAATATTAAGTAATCGTAGAAAATATACAGCAAAGATTATTCTAAAAGCGGAATAGAAAAATTCCATACCTGGGACATTGTCATCGTTAAAACTGATATTAACGTAATGAGTGCTGGTTGTTTGGGGAACAAAGGTAACGTCATAGAGTCCTCGAGCGCAAGCAACAACTTCTGCCTTTACGGTATTGTTTTCAGTGCTTACTACCAATTCTAATGTACCCTCCCCAGCTTCCGCAGCATCCACGGTAAACGTTGATGCCTGTCCCAGTAGAGCTTCCGAAAGTCCGGATACATGAACCTTTAAACAATAATTTATTTAGACACTCATATTTCTGTCTCCACATTAGCGTTATCCATTAGTATCCCGTGAAAATTTTACTTTTAATACTACATAATTAAACATTGCGGCTACAAAAGGGCAAAATTTTACTAATTTCCTTAACCCTAGCAGCTAAACTATTTCACCTAATGTTTCGTCCAAAGTTTGGATCAAAACATATAGGTATAATTAAAAAAGATTGAAAACAATTTTTCTCTTAAAATTATTTTTCTAAATTTTACATTATTTGATGAACTAAGAAATAAAAACTAGAGTGCTAAAATTATTACTTTTTCAATTGTGGAAAGCATTAGATTTTGATTGACGTTAAGCACAAGTTTTATTAAATGAAAATTAATGCGTCACAAAACAAAACAGAAAAAGGTGACACATAAAATAATAAAATGTACCTTAGTGACGTCATAAATGTTGCAAGCAAAAGGCGATCCTTTTATGGGTTCACCGTCAAGTAAAATGCTGATATTGTGCCTTCCTACTTCCGTTGGCGTAAAACTGATATTGTACTTTCCGTCAATTGGTTCAATAGTTATGGGCAGGGCAATATTCGACGGAGGTGTTACGATAACATCACAATTCATTGATGCCGTCTGAGGATCAACATTAAATGATATTAATCGTTTGACAGCTCCCAATTTTAAATTGTGACCTGTTATTAAAGTCTGTCCAGCTCCCACCACTTTGCAACTAAAAGGTGAACCTGGAAAAGAAAAGTCTTTAGTTGCAGTTCAAGAAGGCATTCAGAGCAAATTAAATAATAATCAAGCGATTTACCTGGTACTGGTTCGCCATTAAATCGAACACTGAGACTGTGCATCGCTGCTTCTTGGGGTTTAAAATTGACTCTGAATTTTGCATTACCTTCACTTTGAACGTAATTCGGGACATTCTTCCCATTAACTGCTACAATTATTTCCAGATTACCAGCTCCTGCTTGACTCGCATTAACTAAAGAGTTTGAATGATTTTTAGATTAGTATAATCAATAAAAATTGCAACTATGCGAAGCATTAATGCCACTCACTACTGAAGAATACTGGCTTTCCTACTACTCCATTGTTGATGTCCGTAACTTTAACTTTATCTGCGTTATAAGCTTTCACGAGAAATGGACTTCCTTCCACGTGTGAATCGCTCAGTTTAACTTCAACACTGTGGTCACCTTTAGAAGGAAGCGGTATATTAATTTTACAATTTTACACAATTTTTCAGTGAAGACTCGGGAAAATTAGTTACTTGGTCGTTTGACCAATTAATTACTTACCAACATCTTTAGGAGTAAAACCAGCATTGTAGGAACCATGTTCAGTTTGTTTAATTTGAACAGGTATGCTTTCCCTTGTAGGCGAAAGAACTTCGATAACTGGCGATCCTAATGAAGGGTTTGCTTCGATTGTAAATGTAGCGATTCGATTTACTGACACCTTCTCCAATACTTCTGTTATCAGTACTCTTGCCGTATCGCTAACCTAATTTTTAATTTTAATTTTAATATCTTCCCACACTACTCAGACTATTAAAACATTCCAACAAACACCGTCCTAACAAGAAATTCACAGTATTGTACGCAAGTTACAAACTCATCATTAACAAGTTTGGGATTTGTTGTATAAGCTCATTGCTTATATATAGAATTCTAAAATAATAATAATTTAACCCTTTGCTAACCACAAGAATTTAATGCAACAAAAATCTGAATTGTGAATACAACCTGACAACTGAAGGGGCTACCAGGTACGTCCTCACTGTTGAATCGCAAATCCACAGTATGTACAATTGGTTCTCGAGGTGTAAAAGATATTGCATAGGTGTGAGAACCCTGAGCTTGGGCTGAAGTTGGAACTCGGCCTCCATTCACTGTTACTTCTAAATTTCCTGGTCCGGCTTGACTGGTTTCCACTAACAAGATGAATTTAAGAATTCAAAATAAAAGCAAATAGCTTCAAACAAACCGTTTTGATGAAGGATATAAGTATTAGGTATGAAGCAGGTTAAACCTCCTCAATCTAATCTGAGAGAAGCACAATCAAAGTAGCAAGAATGCACAATTTTAATAACGTCCTAAAGATTTACCAGTTCAACAATCTCACAATAATTCGTGAACCCTCTTCCATTGTAATTTTTTTACCTTGACTTTGAATCCTCTCAAAATCTAGAAAAGTTAATGAGAAAAATTGTTATAGTTTTACAGTACATTCCTTGAAAACTAAGTTTGAAATAGAGACCAGGAACAAGAGAAAATAGTCTTACCGGTATTAAAAGTTACACATTGGACCCTTACTCGGATTCCACTTTCTTAATAGTTTCTTCTTAACTCTTCTTTAATTTTTTTGTTAATAGTTTCATTTTTCATAAGAATTGTAAATACGAGCTTGTTCATCAAAACGGTAATATAAAATAGAATGTCCTAAGAAGTAATAAATAAGTTGCATAATTTACCCAGAAAGGTGACTGGAGAGCCTATAACACCTCGTTTGGCATCCTTGACCTTGATAGCAGCGACATCATAGACTTTACAGCTGAATGGACTGCCGACCACGGGGATGTTTCTGTGGCTGACAGAAATTCTGTGTTCTCCAACGACCCTCGGAGTAAATGCCACTGAACATGTCGTGTCTTTATTGTCGGTCACTTGCGCTGGTACGGCCTGTCCATTGGGTCCTATCAAGTCCGCCGGTTAGTTGTTTTAATATAATTAGGCAGCCAACTGGGGTTGGATTATTTGGGGGCACAGTACCACAAAAATCGAATCTCTTCTTCTTGTGTGTGTATTTGAGTATCCTCTTTATGTATCATAATTTGGTTTGGCTTTGCAAATCATCAACACACCATTCAAGAAGCGCAACAAAAGCAATACGATTTTTACGGCTCTACCGGCAATTGCGAGTTATTACAAGGGAACTTTTCAAAATTTGTTAGTTTCAACTCTCCAAGCAAATAACCAAGTTTTCCCCTAGTTAAAAAAATCAAGCTCAGAGAAATATATCTATCATGATAAGCTTCTGGTATTTTTGTAAATTACAACAAAATTTATAGTAATTGCAAAACAAGGAATTGAAATATTCAACTATTGCTACCAAGCGAAGAACTCGCCTTTCATAAAAAAAAGTTTAATGTAAGTATGTACTATTTTGTTCATGGCAAAATCAATAATCTTATTGGCACAATGAAGATTAACAAAGAACAACTTTAATGAACTAAAGCAATAAGTCTGTTTGCATCGCAGCAGCTGATGGCTTCAACACATTTAACACGTGTTGCTGTTAAGATATTCAATATTGCAATTGTAATGGGTACGATGGAGGAAAATTACTTTCAACGCGTCTATCGAGGGTCATATTAGCCTTAAATCTATAACAATTAAATGATGAAATAGTAAACCAATGAGAAAAAAGAGAATCAGTAACCAGTGAAATGATGTGTGAAAAAGAACATGAGAAGGAATGTTAGTGAAATTAATTTAGTTTATCTTGTAAGTAAATTTAGGAGACTTGCAAGTTAGGAACCCACCACCGTTTCATGGATTTTATGTCCACATAATCTCTAATGTTAAAACGAAATGAATTTGTTTTAGAAGTCTAGTAATGTCGTAGTCTGAAAGCTGGCCGACCTGCAACAAATAGAGAATTGCTCTCAAGCCACCAGTAACTAGACTGACACACTTGTGCTAGTTCCTTCCCAACATAGAACAGAAACACAATTATTGTTATTTCAAAATTATCATTGATATTAAACGACAATATATCTAAATTAGTACACATCAAGAACATTTAGATTTATCATTTATAGGTGCATTTCTCTTGAAGAGCCTATAATTCTTTGTGAATATTTTTAAAAATTAATACATACATTACCTATAAGTAATTGAAAAAAGTAGAATCAAGTACAAGTTTTTAGAAATTGATTGTTTTACTTTGGCAAAATTAAATGCCTGTGTACAAATTATACTTCTTTCCTGTGAAGAATTCTTTACATGATTTTCATTCACAGTAAGAATAATCTTCAGTTATTAATCATACATACAGAATTCTGTTTCTAAAAATATTAAAACTATATTCTTAATCTTGATGTCGAAGTGATATATAATTCGATAATGTTTTTGTCAAAAGTCAAAACCTTACATTTAATCTATTTCGCAGAAATACACAGAATCCAGTGGTTCTTGAAACACAATAATGAAGTTAATTAAATGTAAAATAGAGAAATATAACAAATCTTGAATAACATGACCTTCAGAGGCGTTAGGAAACTAGCAAGTAAAGACACATTGCACGATATTTTTCTGCCAACTTATCAAATATATAAAAATGTGCCCTATAACACAACATTGACTTGTAAACTTGTCGACTGTCGCAAACTTTCCATGTTAACTTGCTGCAAAATTTATATGTACTTTAATCGGCGTAGTTAGTAGCCGTTGAATGTCCACTACTACTTCTACCAAGAATCACATAATTTCTTGCAATATTCCACATCAGGTTATCTTGGATAAATTATTTTGTGCAACACCTGTAAGGAAAGTAATACTTTGCATGCCTGTAAAGTAGGCGCAAAACAGTACTTTGCTGCACTAGTGCGGCAAAGTTCTTAAACTTTTGGGTTTTTTTGGTGATATACATAGGTATTTGTTTTCTATTTGTAGAATACCTGTTTTTTACAGTAATATACGCGTAAAAAACCACGAATATTACGTGCGGTAACATACGTTCCAAACCCTGCTAAACAGTACGTATGTTGGCGTCAACTAGCGTTTCCAAACAGCTTTTTTTATCAAAACCAAAAGGTGTTGCACAAATTACTGTGTGCAACACGTACGAAAGAAGATTTTCCAACTTCGTGCAAATTGCTGCCCTCGCTTCGCTCGGGACAGCAAACTTTGCACTCGTCGGAAAACAGCTTCTTTCTGTACTTGTTGCACAATATACTATTTTTGTTTCCTAAAAAGTAAAGAGGTAGTAGCAGAGGTGATGCTGAAAACATTCTGGAAGCTTGCTAAACAAGGACCAATAGTCCATCAATATTCGAGTTGAAGGAGCAAGCCCTACAAATTATTTAACCCTTTGCCGTTGATATGTTACGAAATGTCGTCTAGAGTCCTTTTTGGGGGAACAGCCAATGAGAAGAGGCGTTTATGCTTGTGTTGATAAGTTAGTTATGTGTGAGAATGTAAGTGTCTAAACTTGCAGGATCGTACCTTCTCAAAATTGGAACCCATTTATATTTTACAATAAATTATATTTAATTATACTAATTGATCACTAAAAATACGATTTTTTGTGTAAAGTGCAAATGTATATATTTGCAATTTATTACAATTTAAAAATGTTAAATTTGATTGTTAAAGACTTTTATTAAACATAAATATCCTATGTAAACATAACCTCAAAATCAAACTAACATCCGGCCCTGATATTGTCCACGTGATTCAACTGTCAAACTGCTTGTTTCTGAGGTGGGGAAAACTTATGTACGGCAAAGAGTTAATAACAAAACGCATGAATCCAAGACCAACAGTCGATTAAATACTCATAACTCTGTCAATTTTGCTCTGATTGACTTGAAATTTTGACACAATATTCTGGAGGTACATGCATTCATTTAAAAAAAAAAATTTAAAAGTGCAAAAAAATGACAATATATCACCCCCCCTCCCCCTTGAATTTCGAAAGCCAAGGAACTAGTTCGTACCTCTTTTAAAATTTTTCTTTTATCTGCATTTAATTATCTTCATTATTAGATCCAAGATACAATTAGTTTGTGGATATTTCTTCGACAGATTCATTAAAAAACATTAATTATGTCTATAAAAATGAAATGGATATTGAAAACTTTTTTTGACAGTTAAAAAAATAGACCATTTCAACATACAATATATTTATAGTATTGAAAATGAGAAAACGGCATTTTGGGATTTTTTCAGCCTTATACAGAATCGAAAATTTATTTGCGCAGAATTAGTGCGAGCTAATTTCAAACTTTAGGAAATTTTCGATTCTGTGTGGGATGATGTTTCTCCATTCTATTTTTTTTAATTACGTATAAAAGAAAGTTTCGAGTTGATCAAGGAAAACATCAATGAAGAAACTTCCCAAAAAACCGTTTTCTGTTCACATTATTCAGTGTGAAATAAAGATTGAAAACAAGAAAATACATAAGAGAAATACAGTGCAATTAACATGTACCTATCTAATTAAAATTAGTTACATGTCAAGAGATAATAAATTTACGTACATACTTTAGTGAAATGATGAAGTGCATTTGTGGCAATGTAAACAGCCCAACAAAGAAAAATTTATAATCACAAAAGGTCGTTGTAAGAAGTATGAGAAAAATAAAACCGATACTAGAAGAACAGCAATTAATTAATACTTTTTATAACCAATTCATTAATTATTATTGTTTGTAACCAAATTTTACGTTCTCTGATGTTTGCTATTCTGAAAAATACCTATAAAATTTTTACGCTTCCTCAAAGTTTTAGAAAAATATTTCTTTATTTACACAAATCCAAGACTCTCTAATTGGGGAATTTTGCTATCCCAGTTTTTGTCAAAATTGAAACCGCATGTAATTTTTTTAGAATTTTTGGGCTTTTGAATAGATATAATAACGTTACAGCATGGAAACAAGTTTGGGGTATTTTAGTACTCCAAATAGGAAGTAACGTCTGAACTAGCTTTGTTGGGGAGTCTAAGGTTAACTAAAAATTTCGAACTTTTAAAAGAATTGCTGTAAATTTATAACCATAAAGTAATACAAAAAGAAGTAGGGTAAGTGCGTCAATTACTGCGCGTTTGTGAAATGTGTAATTATTCATCATTTAAGAAAATATCATTATTTAAATATTTTTAAAAAAATTATATTGAACAATACTTGATACAATTGTTTATAAAGATAGACATTTAAAATATAATTAATTTAATTATTTAACTTTAAATTCTGTGGTCAAAATGACATCTAAATGCTTGATATTCATTTCATTTAAATGCTCTAATTTTATAGGCTATTAATTTTTGTAAAAACTTGTTAAGAATACAAACAATTTGTTTAATAAATTTTAAATTTAATTCCTTTGCTATAAATTAATATTGTTCTTTCTATGCAAAAGTTATCTTGGCTGGAATGCCGCACACGGAGAGAAGAGCTGCAGTAAATGTGACAGAACGCGTTTAGTAAATCATTTAGTGCACCGGTTAGTGGCGCCAACTGTATGTTTAGTATAATACACTACGACACCTCTCTGTTTAGTAGAATATACTGTATTTGCTCAGTGTATCTTACTATCTTACTAAACAGTGCAGTAGATGGCACTGTCTGTACCGTCAGTCCAAACCTAACGGGCGGTATTCATAGTCGATACTTATTTCTTAAGCAGCGACTTAAGCTGCCACCTAGATTCATAGTCGTGCAATAAGCATTGCCTTAAGCCGCAACTTAAGCATATGCTTGATAAAGTAAATGCTTCGATTTTGAGATGCATAGTCCCATCTTAAGAATGACAAGTATTCATAGTCAAATAAGATGATCTTATTTGACATTGCCGGTGAACTTATTTGAACGAATTGAGGTTATGATTTTAAGTCAACGCTTTACATGACTTAAGCAATTACTTATTGTCTTTTTATAAATATTTATAATAAAAATGAAAAGATTTTTTGTTAAAAACAATTTAATAATAATTAAAATTTAATAATTTAGAAAAAAGGTTCAAAATTTATAAAATTTTCACGAGAAATAAAAAGTATTTTTTTTTCATCGAAATGTTGAAAAAACATTTCGATATGCATCCACACACATACATCCGGAGAATTTGTTCCCCATGTTGAAATATTTATATACGCTATACTTGAAAATTTGTAAAAATAATTGATTCTAAGAAAATCGACACCCTATGAGGAAATAAAACTGTTAATATTAAATAATTATTAAAAAATACTATTTTTAAAAATTTTGTAGTTCCAAATGAAAGTTAATTGTTTTACCCCGTTTATATGCACTCTTGGTTCATTGTTTTAGGAAAAATAAGATTTTTTTATAAAAAGTTGCAAAAAAATTCATTTTACAATAACTTTTTTTAAACAAAATTTTTTCTGTCGTTTGTTTGTTAGAGACAATGGCCAAATAAAAATGCTTTTTTTCATTTCGATTATAAAAATACTCCTTATTTTTTTTAAAATTTCACTGATTCTGACTCAATAATTTTTTTTAGAAACAATATAATAATAGTTAAAATAATTTTTTCTATTTTTTAATACAGAAAAATTTAGAATCTAAATATAATATTTCGTGAGGAATAAGAATATTTCAATTTTCATCATTCTGGTAGTCATTTCTTGTATCCTTTTACTTTATAACTTTTATCCTAAAAATATTAAAATATGCATATTTTTCAGTTTTTTTGACCCCCCCTCCTCTCCCTTATCAGATATTTTATGTGCATTAGCGTCATTTTTTCTAATGAATATAAGCTATCTACTATCGCTTATTGGTAGATACAAGAGAATATTGACGGAAAAAGCCGAACGCTCAATAAGATCATCTTAAGCATTTGCTTGGTCAAGAAGTTCTTAAGCTGCATTTCCTTTACCAAGCAATTGCTTATTTTTGACTATGAATTCATACGGTCTTAAGCTCGACTCATTCGAATAAGACCGACTTGATCAAGCAAAGCTTAAGTCCTTGCTTAAGTCGGGACTATGAATACCGCCCAACGATTCTGTTTAGTAGATTTAACTGCCATGTCAGTAGAATCTACTACGCCCTTCTCTCCGTGCAGAAACTAGTGCACTCACCCTACTTATTCAAAATTTCTAAGAAAATGGATATTTTTAAGAAATAGTAATAATATAAAAGAATTCGCTTACTGAATAATTGTTTTTTTAGCCTTGTATTTAATTGTTTGACTTTTTCTAGAATAAGTAATTATTTGAATTAATGATCGATGATGATGATGATAATGTAAGTTTATGGCGAATGCTTAAATTTTCTTTGGAATAAATTATATCTATTAATGAACGAGAAATTAATGAGTGGAAATGAATGAATGACAACATACCTTCAACGTTTACTTCTAAATCTTCCAAGCTACCGGCAACATTACTGACGGTAAGATAACTTTGCCGTCCCAACCCAGCACTGCTCAATGCCTGCCCACTTACTGTAACGTGACTATCGCCACCCACTCTCGTAATAATCGGACAGCCGGGCACAGTTCGCTTATTAAATGCGATGTTTATAATGTGCTCGCAAGCCTCGAACGGAACGAAACTAACCGAAAAACGAGCATTGCCTTGTGGCGTCACTTGAGTGGGAATGTTCTGCCCACGTGCCGATATTGTTATTTCTAAATTTCCTTCGCCAGCCTGACTTGCGTCAACTATTGAAACGATTTATTATTATTTTAATTATAGTTGTTTACAAAACAATTTGTTGAATTTTGTAAAAAGAATTCAATTACGTTTTTACAATATTTTTTAAATACAGTGGAACATCAATTATCCTTAACTATAAATTGTACATAAGGGGGTTTCGAATCGGTTACCTGCCCGTCTCGGTTTTCTTTGTAATGGTTTCTCAAGGTACTCTGGCTCCAATTTCAATGAAATTTGTCGGTAACCATATTTTTTGATTAATTTTTCTATATATGCGGTACTAGGATGAGAAAAAATCCACTGAATAAGGAAATTATGTGGAAACTCTAAGTGGCATGACTGGAGTGGGGGGAAGATCACTACTGCTTGTTAAGAAGTCATTTATCATTTAATTCCTCAAGGGAATTATGGATGCGGTTGGTATTAAATTAAACTGCACTTTACCGTCGAGGAAAGTAAAGAAACAGCACTGGATCGATTTATTGGATATCAACTGCTAGGAAACAAGATTAACGGCGTTGGAAGGTCTGTGAAATTCCTAGGTTAGGTGAGACCTCCGATTCCCCCCCCCCCCACAAAATACGGCACTGAATGGTTTAAATGACGTAAAATAGGTAAAAAAAAAAAACATTTTTCAACCACTTTTTCTCTAAACACAGACACTTTTTACAAAATAGGCCAACGTACAACGGGTGAGCATCATCTAAAATACAATAATCCAAAAGATTGTTTAAATCCAAGCGAAAACGCGTTTGTAAAATGTAAAATTGGAAAGTGATGTAATGCTAAAAATATGACAGCTGCACTCTATTGTGCTCGCTGCATGCGACTGGCAGTAAACCGCTTCTTCCTGTCTGTCATTACATAACTTTCCAATTTTCCATTTTACAGCCGCGTTTCCGTATGAATTTAAACAATTTTTTGGATTATTGTATTTTAGAAGATGCTTACCCGTTGTACGTTGGTCTATTTTGTAAAAAATGTATGTGTTTAGAGAAAAAGTGGTTAAAAAATGTTTGTTTACCTATTTCACGTCATTTAAACCAGACAATGCGGTATTCTGTCGGGTGATAATCGGAGGTCTCACGTAACCTAGAAATTTCACAGACCTTCCAACGCCGTTAAGATTTTTAGTTTGTTTTGTTAATCTTTTCTTAAAATCTTCATATTACTGACAAAAGCATTTTTAATAAATAAAGGAAATATTCACATGCAAGATGGAAAAACAGAATGTGATGCAGCACAGTTGAAGCTAAAGTCCTAAACTTTCAATCGAGAGTTCATTGAAATCGGTTAATTTTTGCGACAGCTACAAATGTTTGAAACTCTCCACCTAGCCACACTCTACTCGATATCAAAAGTAGAATGATATTTTGTAGTTAATTTTATTGCATATTTTTTCTGCAATATCCTCCACTACGATGTTTGCAGTACTGGAGGAGATTGAGGAACCCACTAGTAAGCCGAATATTTGTCGAGATATTTGTTTATAAAATTCTCGTTGGAATTAACAATTTGAAAAATATATACAATTTTATGTTTTGCATTTTCAAGTTTTTTCTAACGATCCAGAAAAATGCTTTTTAAAAGTTACTATCAAAATAGTTATGAAATCGTACTAAACAATCTTATTTTTGTTGATGTAAAAAGTGTCTTAGTAAATTTTTTTGGGATTTTTCTCATCCTAATTTCGTCTAGAAACAAAATTTAATTGGAAATTAGAGTTACCTAAAAATTTCCTTAAAATTGGCGTCGGAACTTCTTGTTCTGTCCTTATGACTGTATTTACCCCCTTAAGGGCATTTGAACCTTGATGACGTCACACATGCTTTGCACAAAGTGTAACGTCATCAAGGTTCAAATGCCCTTAAGAACGTTCGATGGTCTCTGAAATTTGTAGGTTATGTGCGACTTACAGTTATCGCCCAACAAATACGGCACTGCCTAGTTTAAATGACGTGAAATTGGTAAACAATCATTTTCGAACGATTTTTTCTTTGCACACAAGCACTTTTTACAGAATCTGACAACGTACATTTGTCACAAATGTTTTTAATTGTCTGAATTGAAAAGATTTTGTTAATCCATGCAGAAACGCGGTTGCAGGATTGGAAATACAAAAGTAATGTAATGGCAGACGTTAAGACGTATGTTACAGCCATTTTGAGTTTTGACAGTAGAGGGCAGAAGCATGCAGGGAGCGTAAAGGCTCAGCTGTCAAAATGATTCGCATTACATTGCTATGGTAATTCCAAAGCTGCAACCGCACTTCTACATGGATTGACAAAATATTTTCAATTCAGACAATTAAAAACATTTGTGACAAATGTACGTTGTCAGATTTTGTAAAAAGTGCCTGTGAACAGAGGGAAATTTGTTAGAAAATGAATGTTTACCAATTACACGTCATTTAAACCTGTCAGTGCCGTATTTGTTGGGTGATAACTGCTGGTCGCACACGTCGCACATTATCGAGAAATTTAAGAGACCATCGAACACCGTTAATGGGTAGAATTAATTCGGATAATTGACGTTTCACAAACCACGTGGAAAGATTCATGAGAAAGTGCTCTCCCAGAAATCTTTTCATGTGTAAAAACTAAAAGTTAAAGAACTCAAATTTTAGCTTCTTTTTGACGCTAAAATAAATAAAGACTAGTGACAACTAACCACTGAAATGTGTTGCCTGACCAACACTGCCCCTCGCGACTGATCCAATAAGGACCTTATCAGCGTTAAAAGCCTTAGCCAAAAAGGGCGTTCCGTTGACCGGATGTCCATTGTATTCGACGCTAATTGAATGCACACCAACATCTCTTGGCGTAAATTCAGCGGTGAAGCCACTGTGTATATTGCCAGTGACTTTGACTGGCAATTCCATAGTTGGTCCTAGAAAGCAAAGAAATCATCGCAAATGAGATTCTCCCGTCGCTACTCGAGTTTCAAATGCTGTAAATCAAGATTCTTAATATGAAAGTCGACAACTTGCCTCTTACGGAAACCGCAAGTTCGGCGCTACCACTTCCATCAACAGCCATGTGAAAGCTGGCGGGTTGATCTACCGGTATTAACTCTAGATGATTGAGACTCAGAGTAACTCGACTCGTGTCTGAGACGTTGCAAACAAAGGGACACCCAGGAACGGCTTCTCCATTGAACTTGATATCAATGTAGTGAGGCTTGGCGACATCAGGCGTAAAGGACACGAGGCATCGACCTCCTCCCACCACTTGCACGTGGTTGGGCACTTCTCCCTCGTTTATTGAGATTTCCAATTGTCCTTCTCCCGCGGCACTGGCATCAACTGCAAACAGGCATTCAATTCGTTAGATTCTTTTTGCAATTCAATTAACTACCTAGTTGGAGGAAGAAGGAACGAACCTCTAAATTGGCAGGCATGTCCCACTACAGCACTAGGTACGTCAGTAACTTGAATGAGGTTGCTATTGTAGACTTTGGCGACGAGAGGTCCTGCCGGTAACTTTTGTCCCGCGATGCTTACTTCCACCAGGTGACTTCCAACTTCGGCCGGAGTGAATTGAACTCTAAATTCTCCAGATCGCCCTGGCTCTTCATCGATTCGTGCAGTGATGTGTCGTTTTGTTGGTGCTGGAAACATTAAATTTATATTGCCACTTTCCATAAGAGATTAGTCGCTTTTGCTGAATGGACAATTATATTGCTCTTTACAAAATCTAGAATATCTTATCAACATTCTACTCAACAAATAAATTTATTCACTTGCAATATTTGAGAATAACTTCATTTAAGAACTGAACATTAGAAATCTATATATGAAAAGTGAAAATTACTTTATTCTGCATCAATAGAAATGGTCGAATTTTAAACATATGCCAGCTGAATTTATGTTTTCAATGATACTTCTGAAGCGAACATCAGTTCCTGCAACGCAGACAGGGGCGAAAAGCTGCGGGAAAAAGATGCAGTATGCATTTTGAAAATAGAACAAGTCAGCAAAATACTGAATTCGGGTGACGCCCAGAAAAGAATTCCAATATGGCAAAGAAGGGTAGACTTGAAAGTTAATCTTCTAAATTACAATAATTGAGATTGTTTAAATCCATGCAGAAACGTGGTTATAAAATGAAAAATTGGAAGATGTTGCCAGGTGTTGCCAGGTCTGAGTTTTAGAATTGCGGAAGTGCCGGTGTAAAAATGCGGATTTTCTTTTGAAAATATACTTTAGTTTAGTTTAAAATAATATAAAATGAAAATAAAGTATAGATTAGAATAATTATTTGTCACAAAAAACTGTGTACAAAAATGTTTTTGCCAAAATCTAACTCGCAGGGTTTTGCGTTTTTAGAAGCATTTTAAGAAAAGCCTTGCCGCCAGTGCTGCCAGTGCTGGCGCAGTACTACGCCAGTTGTAAATTTCCCATTGGGTTATAGCCATTTACCATTAGAGGGCAGAAGCATGCAGCCAACAAAAAACCGCGTTTCTGTATGGTATAAAAAATCTTTCAGATTTAGATCATTAAGAAAATACGTGTCGATGTTTGGCTGGCAGGTAAAATAAGCCTGTGTGCAGAGAAAAACTTGTTTGAAAATAATTATGTTTAAACAGACAAGAAATTCTTATTTATTATTTTTTGTTTGTTTCTTTTTTAATTTGTAAAAATCTCTTAGGTCGATTTGATATAATCTGAAGAGGTCTTTCGTATGGAAAGACGAAAGCTAGAAAATTGAAATTCTTTAAATAAAGACCAGCAAAAAAAAACACTATATTCTACATCATTTTCAATACAAATTATTCTGGTCAACATCAAAAAACATCTTTTAATATTTGAAAATTATTTTTGACCAATTTCATGTCATTTAAATGCTCAGTGCATTTTTGTTGGGCGATAACTGCAGGTCGCGGATAATCTAAAAATTTAAGAGATCATCAAACACTATACTGTTATTATAACCATGAAACTGCTACGTGCTGAAAAATCACGCTCAGTGCTACCCCCGGTCTGTGAAACCGCTACATTCCCTTTTTACGGTTTTTTAGTGATATTTATAATTTTCAAAAGAGAACTAAGTATACTGTAAATATTTTTTACTTTTTAACATAAAAAAGTCATTTCTATATTATTTTGATTCAATTTTTTTATTTTTGCATATGTTACAATACAAAATTTAACGAATAAAATTTTTTGAAAAAGTTGTCACCTAACATATTTTTGTAAAATATGAAGCTGCTGAAAAGCTCAAGTTCTTATTATACTTCAAAAAAATGTTACAAGCGAAGAAAAATTTTGTAGCGGTCTCTCAGACCGGCATAGCAGTTCAAAGGTTAAATAAAATTTTTATACTTTTAAATTCTTCGTCAATAGGTGACTACGTATCATATTGTACTCTTAATTATTAATTTTATGCAGAGGAAAGACAGTTTCCACTTTAATGTTGTGTTTATTTCAGTCAAATGATTAAAAATCGATGCTTTTAGAGAAATTGAAAGCAAAAATATTGGAGAGAATAAGAAGTAAATGTTTGGAAAGTGAATATGGTAACTTACTGGTAATTTGCACGTCGATTTCACTGCTGCTGAAGCCAAGGGCTGAGAGTTCAAATAATGCGGGACTTCCAGCAGGAACCAGCCTGACAGAATCACCGACAACTGACATTTTTGGACCAGGCATGATTCCAACTCGCCAAGGTGATCCTGAAATCAAATAACTAATAAGAAGATGCTGTTCACTAGTATAATAATTATCGTGAGATTCTGTACTAGTATTTTTTTTTAAATTACATCTTCACAGAAAAAATATTAGTCAAGTGTGAGTTATACTCGCTCACTTAGGGTTCCGATCACACGAATTAAATTATAAATTAATCATCGTTACTAAGAATGTTATTTGTAGGTTATGTGCAACCTACAGTTATCTTATCGCCCTACAAAAACGGCACTGCCTGGTTTAAATGACGTGAAATTAGTAAACAACAATTTTCGAACTAGTCTTTCTCTGCAAACAGGCGCACTTTTTACAAAATTTTCCCACAAACAATGGACACGAATTTTCTTAATTACTAGAATCCAAAAGATTTTTTTGTCCATGCAGAAACGCGGTTGCAAAATGTCAAACACAAAAGCACAAAAGTAATGTAATATTACAGCCATTAGCCAATATAGGGCAGAAGCATGCAGGGAGCGTAAAGGCTCAGCTGTCAATATGATTCGCATTGCATTACTATGGTATTTCCCATTTTGCAACCGCGTTTCTGCATGGATTAAAAAAATATTCTGTATTTAAGTAATTAAGAAGATTCGTTTCGATAGTTCGTGGGCAGATTTTGTAAAAAGTGCCTGTGTGCAAAGAAAAACTTGTTCGAAAATGATTGTTCACCAATTTCACGTCATTTAAACTGGGCAGTGCTGCTAATTAATACTGAACATTCAGATCAATTCAGATTCAGTGGAGACTGGGGGTAAATGTTACACAGGCAAAACTATTATCCCATTTTTGTCGTGTACACTCGAGTACATCGATACCTTCTCTCAAGGAAGGCACTAATTTGACGAGTTTTGCCCACATTTTATATTTTTTATAGTTCATGTCAATAATATCAACGGAATCCTGCTTCTCCATTGGCTGATTTTTTAGACAATATAGAAGGTAGGCAAACTTCGTGAAATTAGTGCCTTCAATGAGAGAAGGCATCGATGTACTCGAGTGTACATTACGCGAAGTGTGTTGTGATCATAGTGCTGTAATTTTTGCAAGTTTTTCGAAAAAATAATAACAGAAAAAATAATGTGTAGAAAATTGTGTAATATACAGTGTAATTGCCCCTGACAGTTGTCAATGCCAAAAACAATACACATTACACTACAAATGACACATTATTTTTTTCTATAAATTGTAGACGCAGCCTTAAGATTTACATGTTAAAAAAATATTCATCTGACATTTCGAATGTCGGTTAGTAAGAAATTTACACTGTATAGTGGCGCCTCTGGCAGTTTAGTAGTAATTCTAACCCAACCTGAGTTGTCAGTTACTCTATACGTATAGTGAATTGAGTGAATTCGTAGGTCCGTTAAAAATAACAAAACTGTTTGGTGATTAAATAAGAGTTGCTATTACTATATCAATTTCTCTCATATAAGACTGTCCATAACCTCAGTTGTGACATTTATTTATAAATGCATGCAAATGCATGTTCGAGCTCAAGCCGAGTTTAAGATAAAGTCGTGTTCAAAAAAAAGAAGGAATAATTTCGAGAGAATTCGGGTACTCGAATAAAACAGGTAAGAAACTAAATATAAAAAATTAGTTTTTAAACTTGATTTCTTTTTCATGTTTTAACCTTAATGAATATTTTCAAAAATGGATTAAACTCTCTTAAAACTTTTTATTAGAGAGGATTCTCGAAATTGTAGAATACAAACTTTTAACTTGTTGTTTAACAATTTTTTATTATTTAAATTAATTGTTAAAAATTTCTTTATTTTATTTTGTAGTTTATGACTTTAAAGTATAAGAACAAAATATTTTGAAACGAGAAGAAAATTCCGTTGAAAGTAACTTTTAAATATTAAAAGTACCTAATGATATAGAACTTGAACAATTTTGCTTAGTAAACTATTTGCAACGTTGATTATATTGTAAATGAGATTCAAAATTACTTGAAAGAATAATATTATTTACAATAAAATTTTAAAAAGCAAAATATTTATTAAATAACAATTTTTATGTAAATAATGCAATAATCTGCATTTCTAAATAATTCTTAGACAACCTTGACTTCATTTTAAGCCAATCAACCAAATTTGAAAGTAATTTATCACAGCATCTGACCGTGAAAAAGAATCATGAAAATTCAAGGGCATATTTTATAAATAATTTCTAACACTTGAAATAAACAATTATCATTTAATCAATTAATAGAATTAAATTATCATTTAACTTTTTTTGCTATTAATATTTATCCTATTATTTCTCTAAGGAGGATTATGCACAAGTTTCACTTCCTACGTAAATAATAAGTAATAATCAATAAATAAATAATAACAATAAAAATAATTATATCAATTAAATTGCTGTAATTTTAAAATAAATAAATATTAATAGTAATAATAATAATAATAATAATAATAATAATAATAATTGTTTTAATAATATTGCCTGAATGATTAATTTTGAAATAAATATTAAAAGTTACAACAGTATTAATAAAAGTAATGACAAAAATATGAATGGCTATAATTAAAAATTTATTTATATTTTGTTTTTGAATTATAATGAACAAATACTAAAAAAATCTTATAAAAATTGAAAACAATAAAATTGGACCTGAACGCAAGAGTTTTGTTATTATAATGTTGACAATCGAATCGATTGCGAAAATGGTTTGCAAAATTTAATTTCAATAATTGAATTTTTAACAATAAACAATTAAATTCGTTTTATTGCTTTCACTTTTAAAAAATTCAGGAGATAATTCACAGATCAAAAATAATCAAACCGAAACATCCTGGAAACTTGCATTAGACATTTCCTAATTTTCTGTCTATACTAGTCTCATGCTTCCTCTGCAATAATCATTTTCTCTCTGTCTTTCTTTACTTTCAACATTATATTCTCTTTTTAATTATTTTAATTTATTATCTTTTTCTAATTGTCAACATTCTAATAATTAATAATCTTCTTAATAATTAATAATTATCAATTATCTCAATTCTAATAATAATAATAATAATAATAATAAGAATAATAATAATTGTCACCACAATAGTAAATACAATAATTTCAATATTAAATAAAAAATTATTTAAAACTTCAAAAAGTGTACACTTTATTTTTACACTTTATACAACCCCACTTTTTTAAGTTTTCAATCATTTTTTAGAAATAAATAAATTGAAAAGCAAATCAATTATTAAATAAACATTTTTTACAAAATAATTAAAAATCTTCTAAAATAATTATATTTATGTCTTTTTAATAATAGTTTTTTAGCTAATAAATCATATTTTTTTATTATAATGATAAAAATAAATTAATAATAATATAACATAGAATATAAATATATAATAATAAATTATGTGATAAAAATTATTCTTAAAATTATTTTATTTAATTTATTATTTAATTCGTTAAAATAAACTAATTTAAAAAACTCAAAACTAAAATATTTAAATAGAACCTAATAATAATAATTGTGTAAATATTTTTGAAAATTAAATAAACATTGTATAAAACTATTCAAAGCTGTAAAAAAAATCTTTTTTCAATATTTAATTTATAACATTTTTTATTGAAATAAATTTAAATTAAAAAAAATTTTAAGTTTGATTTTATATTATTATTATTATTATTATTATTAAGAAGATGTTCAATACTAATTAATTAATTATTAATTTCTATTATTTTACACACGAGAAATTAAAATATTTACCAAATAAGATCACCTCTCACTCTGTATCAACCTGAAAATCCTAAAAAAAACTTGATGAAAAATTACAAAAATAATTATAAAAAAATGCGGTCAAAAATTAAAAATTGCAGAAGGAAAATTTTTGTTGAATTCCTTTTTTGTATGTCGAGTAACGAACACAGTGAATTTTTGCATTCATATATATATATATGTACACGCACGAATGAGCCACGAAGCACAGAACGGATCTCAGAAGAGCATGTTGAAGAATTTCGTTTTTTCTTGACGATCAATGGTCTTGTAGTCGATCTGTGATCGATTGCGATTGCCACTTGATCTATCACGATCCATTGTAACTACATTTATTCACATTCAACACTAATATTTCATTGGTGAAAAACACTCAACAAATTTTGAAAATATTGAAAAAATAATATCAAAAGAAAAGGAGGAAAACTTGAAGGCACACTTTAAATATTCTATATAAAAGGCGTCCGGAAATCTTGAGTCTCGAACTCAACCTAGTCGAACGACGAGACGACTGTGGTCGACGACGGTCCGCCACTCCGATCTCAAACCAGGGCCGTCTCATTCTTGGGTACAAGCAGTGTCAATTATTAAAGTCAACAACTTTCATCAAATAATTAACTTTGCAGAGGAACAAATTTACTCCAATTCTTTCGATTTTTTTGACATTTCTGTCAATTTATTTTGTGATAACGTTGCTTCAATTTTTTATTTACAAGCTCTGCAGGTTGTTTCCTATTCATATTTTCACCTGTTTCGAATTCTGTCACCTACTTCGCACCTATTTTGAGAATTCTAGTTTTTTTCTTTAACTTCACCGACATTTTTAACTATATCAAGAAAATAATTTAAACATACCGTAAAACTGTTTTTATAGTCATTTTAAGATCCTAAAGTTCTGAACGTTCAAATGAACGAAATTTAAATTTATTTCTTCTCCAAATTAAATTTTTATTGAAATTATTTTGCGTTACTATCCAAAAAATTAATTACTGAGTTTCCAGACGTAAATATTTCAGTTTTTAAATTTAATGCTCGTAAATCTCTCTTTGGATTCTTAATTTTCTTAAAAATTGGTAGATTTTCAATTTCATTCTAATTTTCAACCTAAAAAGATTGTTTTTTTTCTAAAAAAAAACTTGAAAAATTTAAATTAATTTTTCTTTATTGTGGGTACAAAAACGTATTTTTTATAAAATTGCGCAGATTTTAAAATTTACAAATTTTTAATAAAAATTTTACGTCAATTGAAATTTATGTTAAATAACATTTACGTCAATAGATAGTTTAATTTAAATGAATTTTATGTCCAATAAATTAGTTCTAAAAGCGAATTTATAAAAAAAGAAGTCGTCTTTACAACAAGTTTAATTATTTACATAATTTTTTATTACAATTTTTTGAAACTCGAAAACAAATAAAATTGAATAACTAACAAATTAACTATTATTCATTTTACAAAATATCTTTTAATAAATAATAATAATAAATATATTATTTATGGCGTATATAATTAAAAAATGAAAAAGAAATTATATTAGATGTATTTGAAAAGAAAATTTATTGGTTGAGTTGCAGTTAAAGAAAATAATAATATTTTAACTAACAATTAATTCCAATTTTTCAATCGCGGATATCGAAATCTTAATTAAAATTTTTAGACATCCAATCGATCCTCATTTTTACTTGTCAAAACATTTATTGATAAATAAAATTTTAAATTATTTCAACTTTAATTAAATGCAAATTGCATCGATAAAAATTTAATATACCTTATAGAAAATTTAAATCTTATCTAATGAATGGTCAAAATTTTAAAAACTCATAATTATCAAAAACAAGAGAATATTTATGCCATTCAACTATTCAATGGTTCAAAGGATGGAGACATTTTAAATCAATTTAAGCTCCAATTTTTAATATTCTTTGTTCTATAATTGTCATTTACACGAATTATTATTATCTAATTATTAATTCGTGTTCAAACAATTTAATATTTAATTAATTAAGTGTAAATGACATAATTATATGTCATATAATATGAATAACAAAAAAAAATATAATTCTTCCTTACTACTAAATCTAATGTTTACACAGTTTTTCTAAGGATATCAAATTGAGAAAAAAACGTATCAAAAGTTTTGCGACGCAACGTTAAGTAATAAGTATAGGTATGTAATTGTTTTCCCAATATACCTAGTAAAAAATAATTATACTCAATGCGTTTTATAATTAGAAAAATGTGTCTCAGATATTTAAATTTGCTTCAAATACTGAAATTTTCCGTTCAAATACAATTTTGGTCTTCGGACTAGTTAAATAATCTTAAAAATGTATGTTATCGAACAATTAAATTATAGCTGAGAGTAAAAATAATACATACTAACATATAACCTATATACAATGTTTTGCTTTAAATATACTTATTGTTATTTATTTTCTCCTAACAATTCAAATTTTATATAATTTAAATGTAAAACCTTCTTATATTTATAGTTATTTCTAAAAATCACAATAATTGCAATTCTTCCAAAATGCAATTATTCTTTTAGGAAAAATAAATAATTGACTATACTTTTAAAGATTGCAACAGTTCCTCTATTTATATATGTTGGAATCATAATGCAAATTTTGCAGATGCTTGCTGCAAGATTGCCGTCAGCTCGCTGCGAATAATTTGATTATGTTAAAATTATATATAATAAAATTTTACAGTTCTTAATATTTTTTCGAAAAATGCATTCGTATGTACCGAAAATTTGGACAATTAAATACTTACGCAGGAGGTTCATTTTAAAAGGTGCACAATACTTTTAAGATATTTTGCCGTGTTCATATTCAAAG